TTGTAATGGGAAACCTCAGTGCTCCATTGTCACTAGACAATCAACAAGAAATATCAGAACTGAACCAAAATTGAACAAATGGACTTAGTAGTTGTCTGCAGAGTGTTCTACCGTACAATGTGTATTCTCTCAGAATACACATTTTTCTGAGCTGTGCATGGGACATTCTCTAACATAGACCACATATTATCTCACAAAACATGTTTAAGTAAATTAAAAGGAATTGAAATTATGTCATGCATTTATCATACAGTTGTGCATTGAAAGTAGAAGTGAGTAACAAAATAACCCAACTTTAAAATCAGGAGCAAGACAAAGACATTCACTATCACCAGTACTATTCAGTGTACTTCTGGAAATATTATCCAGGTCAATTAAACAAGAGAAAGAAATAAAAGGAAAAGAGATAAGGATGAAGTTAAATTGTCGTTACTTTAGTATTACATGACATTGTACAAAGAAAATCCCAAAAACTCCACCAAAAGAATTCCAGACTTTAAAACCAAATTCAGTTGTGTAGCTGAATATGAAATCACCACTCAAAAGTGAATAACATTCCTGTGCACAAATAACAAACTCACTGAGAGAAATTACCATACCTTTCACAATAGTATTGAGAAAAATGAAATACATAGGAATCAATCTAGCAAAGGAAATGTAAGAGTTTAACATTGAAAACTGAATTTCTTTTAAAAAGGAGATCAAAGGAGATGAGAACATGGAAGGATATCCCTTGCTCTTGGATAGTAAGAACCAACATAGTGAAAATGGCCATAGTACCAAAATTGTTCCACAGATTTAATGCAGTCTCAATCAAAATACCAGTAGCATACCTCGCAGAATTAGAGAAAGCGATCTTACAATTTACTTGAAACTAGAAGGGACTAGAATAATAAAAACAACTTTAGGCAGTGAAGGCAAGGCAGGGAGCATTACAATCCTTGACTTGAAGATATACTACACTACAAAGCTACTGTGATAAAACCAACTTGTTACTGGCAAAAAGGAAAATAGACCTGAGGTTCAGTGGAACAGATTAGAACAGTCGGAAACAACTCCAACCACACTCAACCACTTCATCTTTGACAAAGTGGCCAAACATATTCACTGAAAGAAAGATGGCCTCTTTAATAAGTGGCCTCTGTCAAAACTGGCTTTCTACATGCCCAAGACAGAAACTAGGCCCATGTGTCTCATCTTGCACTAAACTAAAATCAAAATGGATCATAAATCTAAATATTGTAGCAGAAACACTAAATGTACTGGAAGAGAGATTACATAAAATTCTTAAAGACATAGGTATAGGAAAAGACTTTATGAACAAAAGCCTGATTTCATAGAACATGTTAACAATTAACAAGTGGGATCTCAACTAATTTTAAGCTTTTGCATACAGCAAAGGAAATCAGCAGAGTAAAAAAAACATTCTACAGAATAAAAAAAAGTTTTGGTAGCTGTTCCTCAGACAAAGGACTAGTATATAGAACATACAAAGAACTCAAAAAAAGTCATACCCCCTGAATTTAAAGAGTCAAGCCAAAAATGGGCATCTGACAGGAATAGATACATCTCAGATGAAGAAGTAGAAATGGCAAAGAAATACCTGAAAAAGTGTTCAATATCACCAGTCATTCGAGAGATGCAGAATAATGCTGAAATTCCATCTTATTCCAGAAACAATAGCTATTATCAAAAAAATCAATAACAAATGTTAATGGGACGGTGAGGGAAAAGGAACACTTCTTCACAGTTGGTAGGAGCATAGAATGGTGCAACCACTGTGGAAATCAGTAGCTTTCTCAAGAAACTAAAGCTGGAAGTTCTCTTTGACCCAGCTATTCCCCTTCTTGGCATGTTCCAGAAAAAATTAAAAAGATTGTAACAGTGATGTATACACACGCATTTTTTTTTTTGGTACTGGGGATTGAATACACAGCCATGTTTACAATAGCACAGTTCATGATGGCTGGATCTTGTGAATAACCCAAATTTCTATTAACCAGTGAATGGATAAAGAAGATGTGTTTTTTTTTTAATACAGTGGTATACCACTCAGCCACGAAGAAGGATAAACTGGAGACATTGCTAGATAAGTAGATGGACCTTGAGACCATACTCTTTAAATAAAACAAATTGGACACATGCTTGTAAATACCACATTCTCTAGTGTGTGAAACTGAAAATGGAAGTAAGGACCAAAATATATAATAGATGCTATGAAATAGGAAGAAAATGTTCAAATGGGAAGGGGAACTAAGGTGGGAGAATTAGGAAAAGAAGGAGGGCAAAGGAAAGAAAAGAGAAAACAAGAGAACAAATGGAAACAAAGCTTTTGTAAATAAGGTGGGGAAGACGAGTTGAAGGGAGATTTGGGGAATGGGAAAAAAAAAAGAATCAAGGTGTGTCATGTACAGGTACAAATTCCCAATGATGAATATGGTCATTGTGTAAATCTAAAATGTACCAATAAACCTAACTAATTAAAAACACAAGCCCACCCCTTTATTCCTGATTTCACCAAGCTGCAGCCTGTATCACAGCGAGAGGTAAGGTGAGAATGAATTGTCTGCTTGGGCTGTGCAGGTTCCTCAAGGACAGAGAGGTGGTGGCTGGTCAGGAGAAATACTAGAAAGCTTTTTGAAGATGGAGGATGTCTCAGCCACTCACGGCCTAATGAAGCCTGACTAGACTAAAACAACTGTGGACACTTGGCTGAGGGCCCTTAGGGGAACACCAGGTAGCAAGATATCCCACCTGTGTGGAAGTGGCAGCATTCATCCTGAAATGTTATGTTTTAAGCAACATCTACCTGAGCCTCCCATCCCTCAGCCTCTGATAAAAGCATTTTATTATTTCTATCAACTCACCTTTTTACGTTGTACATGTTATTGAAGTCATGTAGTATTTCAGTTAACACAGTGCCCACCAACTTCTTCCATAGTGTTGCAAATGAACAGTGTTCCCTTTTAATGACAGAATAGTGCTCCATTCTGTGTGCCTCGTTTTCTTTATCCATTTATTCACTGATGAGCAGTTATTTTGATTTCATATCTTAGCTATCTGAATAGTTGCTTTGTGTATGAGAGTGCAGGTGTCTCTACAACACACTGATTTCATTTCCTTCTATTTTGTGACTTAGCAAATGGTCTGGATCTGACTCTCATGTCATGATTTGTTTACTCTTATTTTAGAAAAAACTGGATGGGCTGCTGGGTTGAGAGTACATTTTAGGGGTCAAAAGTGGGCATAAGGAGACCAGGCGAAAAGTTGTAACAATAATCTATCTACATTGGAAATCCTGTTCAAGACCAGAGCAGATACCATTTAAAGTCATGGAATTAGATGAGAGCATCTAGAAATTGAGCACACAGAGAAATGATCCTCATCATTAGTCACGGGATTGCAAATCAAAATCACAGTGAGATATTACTTCACAACTGTTAGGATAGCTGTTTCCCAAAAGACAAAAGATCCTTAGAGCTGGTCAGGTTGTAGAGAAAGCGGACCCTTGAGCACTGTTGGTGGGAGTATAAATTTGTGCTCCCACTATGGAGTACAGTATAGAGGCAGCATGTATATAACTGAAGATCAGTATGTTAATTAAGCCAGGCATAGAAAGATAAGCGCTGCATGACCTTGCTGTGAAATCTTATTTTAAAATGTCAAATACTGTATACAGAGATCATAAAGCAAACAGTGGGTACTAGGGTCGGCAGAGGGGAGGAAATGGAGAGATGTAGGTCAGAGATACAAAGTGGCAGATATGGAGGGTAAACAGGTCTAAAGACCTAGTATACAATGAGGATTATAGGTACCTATAAAATTGTATGGTACTCAGGTATTTGTTAAATAAATAGATTTTAGCTGCTCTTGTAACTAAAAAGTAAATTTGTGAGATGATGGATTAATTTCACTGCAGTAGCCATTTGACTGTGTATCCTATAACATCATGTTGTAAACTTGATTGCTTTTTAAAAAAGAAAATAATCAACTCTCCTAAGCTCCCTGAGGTCCAATGAAATGAAAGATTAAAAGTTAACACTAGCATTAGGTGTCATCATGATAAACATGGTTTTATTGAAGACATAGTAGAAAAGTCTGCATGGAGTGGATTTGAGAGAATGAGTGCAAAAGACCATGGTGACAGCAATTATAGGCAACTCTGAATTTGTTTTGCTATAAAGTGGACCAAAGAAAAGGAGAGGTGGGTGGCTGGAGAAGAACTACAGTCTAGGGACCCCCCACTTGGTACCGGGGATAGAATTCATGACCTCGAGCTTGCCAAGTAGGCGTGTGCCACTGAGCTATATCTCTAGCCCCAGGAAAACTTTTCAGCAGTGGTTAATAATTATAGTATGTTTGTGTACAGTGCTGAAAAAAATGGAATCTCTCTGCTCATCGAGCTTATGGTTTGTTTAGTGCAAGGTAGAGGCAGAAGAGAGACAATAATAAATCAAATTATGATACTAACTTGGTCATTAGATGTAGCCACTCAGATATTATATAGGCTCGTGATGGTGAACCTATGGCATACGTGTCATGACAGGCTGTTAGCATTAAAAGCTCTAAAAGATTTGCCATCACTAACACAGACATTTCACATTCAACTAAGTGGCATTATACTTCTCACCACCTTTTTCTCTGTTTCCTTTTCTTGTTTTTGTGTTATTAAAAATGCCAATGACTGTCTACCTAGGTCATTCAGGACAGAGTCCTACCCTTATCCCCTGCAACCACTGTGTCTTCTAACTCAGTCCACTACCACAGTCATCTTTAAAAATTCTCCCAGAGAGTTTAAAGTTCTTCCTAAAACCACAGACTTAGTAAGAGGTGGAGCCAAGATTTGCTTATGTCATGCTCCATTTGGGGTTGGCTTTCTGTAGGGTATAGGAAGGAGCTGGGTCATTTCAAGGTAAGGAGGATCTGAATATCACCAGAAATGCATGTGGTGTGCCTCTGACAGCCTGTCAGCTTATCTCATGTTGGTTTGATTTTTGTAGGTGTACTGGTTTCATATTCCAGAAGGTTGGAAAGTTGGCTGCAACAGCTGTTGGAGGTGGATTTTTTCTCCTTCAGGTCTGTATGTGAAGTGTTCTTAGCTGTTTGAAAATTCTACTTCTCCATTAGGGACCATTGAGGTTTGAGGAGTTATAGCATAGTTCTGTACATATTACACTATATGTACTATTTTAGATGCTAGTAACTATTTCACTCAAGTTTTATAAATTACTCGTCAAATTTTATTCCTTATGTATAACATGAGGATAGGAGTATGTATTCCTTCCTCTCTCAATCCTAGGAACTGGGTGGCTGGAAGTCTTGGGCCTGCCTACGCCAACTTCCCAGCTTCCTGCCGCACGTGGCCGGCTCCAGGGGTCCTGGGCCTACCTATGCCCTAAATTCTGGAAACTGAGTAGCTGGAAGTGAGTGTTCTCACACCATTCCGAGCCCCGGGAGTTTAAGATCATCACTCCCACCGGCCAAGGAACTTCCTACCTTCTTGACACACTCCACTGGCTCCTAAGTCTTAGGCCTGCCCGCCCCACCCCCAATGACCCTCTCTCAGTCTGGGGAATGGGCAGTCGGAGTCCCAGGAGCTGAGAGCAAAGAAGATGATTTTCCAACAGGCCTAGGGGAAACCTTGGAACAAAACTTGAAACACAGAAATACAGGAAAATGACAAAATGAAAGACCAAAAATATAATCTCAAACTTCAAGCCCAACCCAAGAAACCTTAAGAGCTATGTACATAGAAGAAAATATAAGTCATACACCTGAAATACCTGAAATAATAGCAATTGAAATAAAGAAGCAACTCTGGGAACCTTTAAAGGAATTCAGACTACAAATAATCTCCCATGTAAAAGAAATGATAAAAGAAATGAAAGAGATGCTGAACACATCTAAAGAAGACACAGTTAAAAAACTAGAGGAGCAAAACAAAAAGATAAAATCCCTGGATGAACAGTATGAAAAACAAACAGAATACATGAAGTAGATTCCAAGAGATATACAGGAAATCAAAAATTCCATTGAAAGTTGTCAAAACTGCCTGAACAAAAGTGAAGATAGAATTTCAGACCTCGAAGACAAAATTGCAGCTAGTGAACAGGAAAGGAAAAATCTTTTGAAAATTACAAGGAATCAGGAAATAACAATTCAACAGCTGCAAGATGATGCTAAGAAAAACAACATAAGATTGATAGATATAAATGAAAAAAAAGGGACAACACAAAGGATAAAAAGAGGATATTTAGAGAAGTAATAGCTGAATATTTACCAAACATGAGAATGGAAACTTGCATCAGGATCAGTAAAGGATTTAGAACTCCAGGTAGCCATAACCAAACTAAAACCACGCAGCTATAGAATAATCACCATCTCAGAAACCACCATAAGAATAGAATATTAAAAGCTATCAGAGGGAAAAGACAGATCACCTATAAAGGAAAACCAATCATAATCACAGTAGACTTCTCAGCACAAGCAATAAAATCAAAGAGCAGGGAGTGAAGTATTTCAGATCCTAAAGGAAAATGATTTCCAAGACAGACTGATATACCCTGCAAAACTGTCCTTCAAAATTGATGGAGAAATAAGATACTTCATGACAAAGAAGAGCTGAAGAACTTCATGATCACCAAGCCAACCCTGCAAAGAGTACTGGAAGACAGTTTAGATACACTTAGGAAAAACCCTTTAAGCCAAGCAGACAATTAAACACAATGGAAAGATAAGATGCAACAGCAGAAAGATAACATGCCAGCAATAAACCAATATATGACAGTTATAACCATTAATGTAAATGGTCTCAATTCCTCAACTACAAGAAACAAACTGGCAGAATGGATGAAGAAACAACACCCAACCATATGCTATCTACAAGAAACCCATCTAACACAAAAGGACACTCAAAGACTGAAAATCAAAGGATGGAAAACAATACTTCATGCAACAGGAAGCAAAAAAAAAAAAAGCAGGGATAGCTATTCTGTTTGCAGACAATGTGAAATTCAAACCAAGGATGATCAGAAGAGATGAAGAAGGTCGTTACAATCTGGTTAGGGGAAAACTTCAAGAGGAAGAGATAACAGTCTTAAATATATATGCACCAAATTCCAGAGCACCCGGTTATACAAAGCAAGTATTAATAGAAATGAAAATCAAATTAGCAATAACATACAGGAAACCTTGACACACCATTGACACCAAGGGACAGATCAACCAGACAGAAAATCAGCAAAGAAATAACAGAACTGAATCACACCTATGAACAAATGGACCTGACAGATGTATACAGAGTGTTCCATCCAACATCAGAATACACATTCTTCTCAGCAGTACATGGGACATTCTCTAAAATAGACGATATACTAGCCCACAGAACATATTTAAATGAATGCAAAAGAATTGAAGTTGTCCCATGCATGTTATTGGATCATAGCACCATGAAACTAGAAATTAATGATAAAAGAAACTGAGAAAATCCCACAAACATATGGAAATTGAATAACATACTCTTGAGCAATCAGGGGGTCATGGGAAATTAAATAAGAAATTAAACAATACCTACAAGCAAACGAAAATACAAGTACAACTTACTGGAATCTGTGGGGTGCAATGAAAGCCGTCCTCAGAGGAAAATTTATTGCACTGAGTTCCCACATCAGGAAAACAGAACAAATACAAATAAACAACCTGTTTCTACACCTCAAACATCTAGAAAAAGAAGAGCACAACAAGCCCAAAGCCAACAAAGGGAGGAAATTATAAAAATCAGAGCAGAAATTAATGCAATAAAGACTAAGAAAACAATCCAAAGAATCAATGAATCAAAGAGTTGTTTCTTTGAAAGAATAAATAAAATTGATAAACCTATAGCCAACGTTATATTAAAAAGGGAATAAAAGCTCAAATTCATGCAATAAGGAAAGAAAAAGGCAAAATCACTACAGACTCTGTAGAAATACAGAAGATCATCTACACCTACTTCAAAAACCTCTACTCTCATAGGTTCAATAACACAGAAGAAATGGACCAATTCATGGAAACATGAAGTACCAAAGCTAGGTCAGGAAGATGTAAAACTGCTGAATAACCCAAATTCTATTAATGAAACTGAAAATGTAATTAAGTCCTTACCTACAAAGAAGAGCCCAGGCCCCGACGGATTACTGTGGAATTCTACAAGAAATACAAAAAGACTTAATGCTGACACTCCTCAAGCTCTTCAATGAAATCAAAAGCGAAGCAATCCTTCCTAAGTCATTCCTGGAAGCAAGTATTACTCTAGTACCAAAACTTGAGAAAGACCCAACTAAAAAAGAGAACTACAGAACAATCTCCCTAATGAACACAGATGCAGAAATAATAAATATTGACAAAAAGGATGCAGCAATCATCAAGAAGATTATACACCATGACCAAATGGGATTCATCCCAGGCATGCAGGGATGGTTCAACATATGTAAATCGGTAAATGTAATCCACCATATCAATAAAGCCAAAAATGTGAATCACGTGGTCATTTCTATAGCTGAAGAAAAAGCTTTTGATAAGTTCCAACATTCATTCATGATAAGAACCTTATAGAAAATTGGAATAGATGGTCTTGGCCTCAATATGATAAAGGCCATCTATGACAAACCAACAGCCAGCATCATTAAATGGCCAAACACTGACAGCCTTTACCTTAAAATCAATAAGACAAGTATGTCCCTTTTTACCACAGCTATTTAATATAGTACTGGAAATACTAGCCACAGTAGTTGGACAAGAGAGAAATAAAAGGGGTAAAGATAAGAAAAGAGGAAGTTAAATTATCAGTATTTTCAGATGACATGGTACTCTACGTAGAAGACCCCAAAAACTCCATTAAAAGACTCCTAGATATAGTAAATAAATTCAGCAATGTAGCTGGATACAAAATCAGTACTCAAAAATCAATAGCATTCCTATATACTAACAACAAAATCATTGAGAGAGAAATAAGAGAAGCCACACCCTTCACACTAGCATCCAAAAAAAAAAAAAATGAAATACTTAGGAATTAATCTCATGGAAGAAGTAAAAGATGTATACAGGAAAAATTATAATACCCTGAAAAAGAAATCAAAGAGCAGCTCAGAAAGTGGAAAGACATCCCTTGCTCATGGATAGGAAGAATAAGTTTTGTAAAAATGGCCATTCTCCCAAAACTGTTATACAGATTGAATGCAATCCCAATAAAAATGCCATCAACATACCTCATAGATCTAGAGAAATCACTCCTAAAATTCATCTGGAAACAGAAGAGACGTAGAATATCAAAGACAGTTCTAAGCTGCAGAGGCAAGGCAGGAGGCATCACAATCCCTGACTTGAAGTTATACTACAAAGCAACTGTAGTAAAATCAACATGGTACTGGAATCAAAACAGACCCAAAATCAATGTAATAGATTAGAAGATACAACCACAACTACCAACACATTCAATCACCTTATCTTTGATAAAAGGGGCCAAACATCTTCACTGGAACAGAGACAGTCTCTTTAATAAATAGTGTTGGAAAAAATGGCTCACCATATGCTGAAAACTAAAGCTAGATCCATGCCTATCACCGTGTACTAAATTAAAATCTAAATGGATCAAAGATCTGAATGTTAAAACAGAAACACTAAATCTATTGGAAGACAAATTGGGTCAAAACCTTGAAGTCATAGGGGTAGGTAGAGAATTTATGAACAGGAATCAAACCACATGGGAAGTACTTCCCAGAATCAATAACTGAGATGAAGTCTCTTTAAAAAGTTTCTGCATGTCAAAAGAAATCTCCAGCATAGTCAAAAGAAAACCCACAAACTGGGAAAAAAATCTTAGCATACTGTTCTTCAGACAAAGGACTTCTGTCTGAAACATATAAAGAATTGAAAAAAATCTAACCCCCAAAATTCAAAGATCCAATCCAAAAATGGGCATCTGAGATGAATATACAGTTCTCAGATGAAATACAAATGGCAAATAAATACATGAAAAAATGTTCATCATCATTAGTAATTTGAGAAATGCAAATTAACCACACTGACATTCCATCTCACTCCTGAAAGAATGGCCAGGACCAAGAAAACTACCAGTAACAAATGCTGGAGAGGCTGTGGGGAAAAAGGAACTCTCCTGCATTGTTTGGTGGGAGTGTAGACTGGTGCAACCATTGTGGAGGTCAGTCTGGAGATTTCCCAAAAAGCTGGGGTTGGAAGTCCCATTTGTTCCAGCTATTCCACTTCTAGGCGTATTCCCAGAAGAACTGAAAACATCATACCACAGTGATATATGTGCACCACTGTTTATAGTAGCACAATTTGTAATAGCCAGATCCTGGAGACAACCTAAGTGTCCATCAACTGAGGAATGAATAAAAAGGTTGTGGTATTTTTATATAATGGAGTACTACTCAGCTATAAAGAATGATCACATTGAGATATTTATAAATAAATGGATGCAGCTTGAGACTATACTTATAAGCAAAATAAACTCACATGTATAAATACCATATAGTCTCCCTAGTGTTAGAAATGGTAAGAATACATAAAAGTATGTGCTAATCATGATTCCCCATTATATAGCTTTGAAGCCTTATAATGTTTTCATTCATTAGTTGGAATGGTTTAATTCCAGGTTGTTTGATTTTATCATCTGTGAGGGTATGAACAGCTATTTTGAAGAAAACAAGACATTATAATAGCTAGTGCTGATTTAATGTCATCTTGTTTTGAAGTCCTACCAAGCTTTTGTTCTTCTGTCTCCATCGGTTTCATCATGTTGTGTCTTATTGGCTTTTATTATATGTGATAGTTTTTTATGGACAAGGAGATACTATAGTAACCATTGTTCCTTTTCTGTTAGTTGGTTCTGAATACCCTGTAATACTTTCATTCTCTTGAATGGTTTTTTACTGTCTTTTTATGTTTGATACTATAGTGTATGAAGGCATACCTAAATATTTCAAGGAAAGAGACACTGGTAGCTACTGTGATGTTGGGTTGTCTTGTGGGGAAACACCATGTTGCTTGAATTTTTCTGTTCTGATGTTTTGTTATGTCCTCTTCTATTTTTAAAATAAAAAAGTATGTATTCCTTGATATAACTCCCTGAAAAACTACTGAAATACTAAGCAAATGTTATTTTAAAACTATGAAGTGTGACCCTGGTGCCCTGCTATACAATTTATTTTCATGAGTTAATACATTCCCACTTGTTTAAACTGCTGGTGATACATGTATTACTTTCCCATTGGAAAGCATGTACCATTGACTGTACACATTATTTAAATTTATTTATTAATAAAGATAATAAAAAAGGTCTATAAATGGACCAAATTTAGTTAGTTGGTTGAATTTGAGTAATAATACTATTCATGCCAAATAAAATTATTCTAATAACACAATTATTTCATTAAACTAGAAGAAGTTTGTTTATTTGTGAATTTTTAAACATTTTCTGTAGAACAACGACTGATTTGTGCAGAGTGTGTTAAATGTCGCAACTTGGGATGAACCCTGCCTTGTACATGACAGGCAAATGCTACACCATTGATTCATACCCCCAGCCCCAGATCTGATCTTTTCACAATTATTTGGGCAAATTCTTGGTTCATTTACCATTCTATATAAGTTTTAAAACTTGTTTTTTAAATATCTATAAAAGAGGATGCTGGTCTTGCATTTTGCACATCATTTCTATATCAAGTCTTCCATGTACCCAGTGTGTACATGCATAAGAACACATGTAGTTTCAGTGTTGGAAGAGAATGTCAAATTGTTCTCATACAAGGCTCCAGGTAATGCTCTCAATAAGAATCACTGAAAAGTGTTTCCCCATATTTTCACCAATGTAGGATATTCTTACTTTCTCCAATCTGGTAAAAAAAACAACTGTATACTGGCTCATTGTTTTAATTTATACATTCTGAAGGTAATTTGTGAATTTGAACTTTTTCTTGGTCTATTTATTATGTGAATTGCCTTTGCTCATGTTGCAAGTGCTACATCCTGACTGATCTATATAAGAACTTCACTTTTTATGAGTATTAATGTTTTGTTCATGATACAAATATTTTTTCCAGCCTGTCCTGTGTAAGTAATTGGTTGGTGATGTCATTAAATAAAATAAGGACTTAGCTGGGGCATAGCTCAGCAGCACAAATGCCTGTCTGGCAAGTGCAAGGTTCTGAGTTCAATTTCTCGTGCAAAAAGAAAGTAGGGTCTATAGAAAGAACAACTGTAGGAGACCCTAGAAGGGTAAAAATTTTCTTTTGGATATGACAACCAAAAATTGGGCAGAGAAAAAAGTGATACTAGTGGGGATTGAGTAATGGGCTACTTTCATTCTCTTTGCTCCTTGGATAACACTAACCTATCATAAATCTGTGCACTTGAATCAATCTTATCATATTCAAAATTCCTTAATAAAATTATTTTCAATAACCTCCCTATTTTGATTTTAATTTTCCATCTTATTGTTTAAGCTAACATAAAACTCTGAAGAAAAAAACCTCTGTAAAGAAGGGAGAAGACCATGAATAAATTGAGAGAATTGTCAGCAGTTATGAGGGCCATTTCTTTATTTCCAGTGCCTAGGTTGCATAGGGTAGGTGCTGAGTAGATGTCTAACGAATGCCATCGTCTACAAACAACCAGAGAGCAATTCTTTTCCAAAAATTGAAAGTCAGAGAGTTTCGACTGTCTATTCATAGATTTATTCTGACGACAAGAAATAACAAGTCTCTGTTTCTCATTTCTTTTTATCATTTGTCTTGAAACTGTAGCTTGCAAACCACACTGGATACATTAAAGTCGACTGGCAGCGAGTAGAGACAGACATGAAAAAAGCCAAAGAGCAGCTGAAGATACGTAAGAGCAACCAGATAACAACTGAGGTCAAGAGCAAAGCTGAGGAGGTGAGGCTTATTTCATTTGCATGCAATGTGTGAAGGATACAATCTGAAGTGAAGTAGACACACCACTATCTCAAACAGTGGACCAAGGTTAAAGATTACAAAGGACTTGCAATAATAAGACAAAAGCTATATTGTACAGGACAGCCTTGGTTAAAGCATCTAATTCAAAGGCATTTTTTGAAGCTGCGTAAATGAAACATTCAGTGGCCTTTGTCAGTGAGTACACAAAGTGATAAAGATAGTACCTGTAGTTAAGTAGTTCTTGTAGGGTTGGGAGTACCACCATGGGTGGGAAGTGAGTCCTACTGCCGTATGATCTTTTTTTTTTTTTTTTTTGGTCTCTAAGCCCACTTCTCTCTGAAACATCCACAGTCTGTTTTTCTGCACATTACTAGTAGGACTGTCTAGCTCAGGGATTGGCAGACTTCTGTAAAGGGCCACATTATAAATATTTTCAGCTTTGTGGGCCATACGATCTCTGTCATAACCCCTCAACTCTATCATGTAAAATGAAAATAGCCATAGATGATATATATAAATAAGTGGGTGTGGCTATGTTGCTATAAAACTTTATTTTAAAGCAGATAGCAGGAGCATAAAGTCAGGTTAGGTTATATTGGCTAGCATCAAAGAGACAGAAAACCTCTGTATCTTGCTACTTCATTACCTTTGGAAATGTGTTAAATATCCCAAAGAAATAAGTACATTGAACCAGGGAAAAATAAACTGAGATTGGGATGTCAAGAAGGTGACTATTCCCTTGTATAGCCTCAATGGTGACATTCTGCCATTAGCTCCTTCATAAGGAAAAGGAACAGATTTAATGAAGAGGAAAAAATACCCTGTATCTACCTCAGGGTTATCATGTACTGAGTGGCTTTTTATGCTAGGCACTGGGGACTTAAAGGCAAATCGGAATACTCTTTGTCCTCAAGGCAGTCACACTCTAGTAGCAGTGACAGGAAACTGTTACATAATCAAGTAAATAGTAGAAGATGAAGTACTTAGGTTAAACATGGCAGACAAACACATATGTCTTTCTCTACTTGTGAAGTATTTCTGATAGATGGTAACAGAGTAAACAAAAGGAAAGTTCTAACTCACAAGACAACAGGAAATGAACAGTAGTGACAAGAGATGTTAGCAACTTCTGGAAGTTGCAAAACAAGTAGTGGAATGGTAAACTACTTAACAAAATAGAAAAAATACTGAGCAGAAACCTCAGCATGCCAGGTATATGATGACAATCTCTGTATGGTGGGAAGCTATTTGTCAGCCTAGTGCTGTTATCCAGTGTGGAAAATCATAGAAGCTGTTTTCTGACTTGGAAAACGGAGTAAAGACCTTCAGTTCAATATTCAGCAACAAGTTAACTTCACTGGGAACAGTTTTAGTGGTGGAGTTGAATTACAAAGTAGCAAATTGAAGAGTAAATAGTAAGAAAAAATAATGAATACAGTTATTTCAAGGAAGGTGGACCCTTTTTTGTTTCCCTCTGATGGTAGATTTCCCCATTTATTTAGGGAAATGTGGAAGACCAGAGGAGTTGGGGCAGGTGTGGGAGTGAGGTTTGAAGACTGATTCAAGGAGATAGGGGTAGCAAAATGATGGGGAATTTGTAGCTTACATGGGTAGGAGATGGAATCACTGTACTGAGTTCAAGGAATAATAAGGCCAGGATACTCTCATTCAGGAGCCATGAAGGGTGCCTGAGTGTATCCTCTGAGCCTCAGATGAACAGGAGCATTTCAGGAGGATAGAAGGGAGATGGTAAAATTTGTAGTTTAAGGAGACCAGGATGTTGCCTATTAATCATTGGTAATAGAGATGAATCCTGATATTAACATCCTTTGTAAAATAATCCATTTCTAAATCTTCTCTTTCCAGGTTGTGTCATTTGTGAAGAAGAATGTTATAGTGACTGGAGGATTTTTTGGAGGCTTTCTGCTCGGCATGGCATCCTAAGAAGGACAATTATACTTCCATTTTCTGTTTTTTTCCAGCCAACAGCCAGCCTCTACAGTTCATCATAGAGCATCAAGTATCTCTCTTCTCTTCTCCTGTGCCTTCCTCCCTGTTGTGACAGATCTGAATGGCTTCTCTAGGCGTTTGTTGGTACAAGTTAATACCAGTCCTATTATCAGCTCAAAAGTGACAGAAGAGACAGTAGACATTAGTTCTCCTCCTGGTACACACTCTGCTTGGCCAACTCTAGGTCAGCAAGAATGTTCCTTTTCCCTCTATATAACATACTTGCCAGAACACATTGCAAGATCGTTCACTAAGGAGGGTGTTAGGGTCCTCAAAGAAGCACATAGTTACCTTATTATGTGCTACATGGAAAGGAACTGAATACATTTGCCTTTAAGCATGAACAATTTTGATATCTTAGTCTTGGTGTGTACTTTCTTTTTAAGTTAGTTTTAGATTACAGGAAGAGTGCTATTTATACCAGCTATAATTATCCTGACAAAAATGGCAGCCTAAGAACTATAACTGATAAAATCTGAATGTGAGATGAACTTAGGCTAAAGGTATATGCTGTGTTGAAGATACTGTATTTGATGACAAAATCTAGGGAAACCAACTAGAAATCCATTTTCAGATGATTAGATGACTTGTTCAGGAATGTTTCCTGTCATACTGGATAATACATGTCATCGCTGTTTCTAAAGGCTTTATTTATATATTAAGACAAGTATTTTAGTGGGAGAAGAAAGAAGCTCTTAGATTATTTCTTAGAAAAGATTTTATGTGGCTGGGTGTAGTGACACATGCCTGTAATCCCAGCTACCTGGGAGGCTGATTTAGGAGGAGAGCTTGGAAAAGGGCTAGGTAGAACACTTGGCTGGGGATTTGTTAGGCCCTGGGTTCAGTCCCCAGCACTAAAAGAAAAAAAAGATTTGAAATGTAAAATATTCTTCACATCTCTCAATACATTAGGGGCAGCGATAGTTCTGTGTTCCTAGATACATCATTTAAACCAGAATTTGAAGGAGGTAGCATTCCAGGCATTTAGAATGAGAAATAATGATGGTGCAATATATGTTGAATAAATTTCCATCATCAAGTGCAATCTGCTGTCTCATGATGATCTCTTAACTCTCAGAATTATTCTTTTAAATAAAAATTGATATACACACACATTTAGAGTCTTAACACATTTACTGTAACTCCAGCTAGAGTATCACTTTCCAGAGGGCAAGGCTTCTGTTGTCTTTATTGTACTCACAGGGTCTGCACTTTAATGGGATTCTGAGTATTTGTTGAATATGGATAATAACCTCATGAACTTACCTTAGTAAAGGTTAATTTTGCTCAGAGTTCTTAAACCTGCAGGTGGTTTCATGCAAAATATTCGTTTTGATCTTGTAATTTAAAATGTTTGTCTTTTAAACCATCTGGAGAATGATGTATTGAAATTAAAAATGGAAACAAGCAGTACATAGAACTTTATAGAATTCACCTATTTGAATTTTCCTCATTACATTCAAATAACATTTAAGGCAACATAACCTATTTGGCTTGTAATATGTATGAGTCAATCCCAAATCATAATGTTATGAGCCTCTTTACTACTTACTGTTTTTGTATGAATCATCCCAAAATCATATTATGAGTCTCTTTACTGTATATTTTTTCCAAGAATTTAAAAACAATTTTTGCTTTTTATTATGGTAATTTTGAAACATGAAGGTAGAGAATATATTAGTGACTCCCCATGTGTCCATTATCCACCTACAACAATCATGAAATCATAGCTATACTTGTTTTGTCAATTATTGTGAAATACCAAAGAATCACTTGTGTGGTATGTGTTGCTGAAGTTGATTACTTTTTGTAAAGATCATAAGAACAATACCTTCTTAAACCAAAAACAGAATTCTTCAATATCATTGAATATCTATCTGGTCATAGCTAAACATTTCCTTACCTCAAGTGACATTGATTTTGTTTGGCTCAAAACCCATACAAGGTCCATATAACATTTAGGTCATCTGAGTGTTTTAAACCTACAGGTCTTTGTTTCTCTTTGGCAACATATTTACTGATGACACTGAGTTGTCTATTTCTCTACATCTTCCTGAGGTCTGAACTCTGTTATGTAATTTATAGTGGTTATGGCAATAGCCATCGTTAAACTGTACCTTTGATTTAACCCATACCAATGGAGTGGTGACAGCAGAAACTAACAACAAATCAGCCAAGCATGGTGGCACACACCTGTTATCCAAGCACTCAGGAGGCTGAGGCAGGAGGATCACTGTGAGTTCCAGGCCAAGGTGGGCTACATATTGAGTTCAAGACTGGCCTGAACTACATAGCAAGATGTTTGTGGGGGAAGGGGACCTAAAAGGAGTGTCCTTTTGGGTTGCACAGATGAGGGGGTAGCCACCAAAGACCTCTCCTGTGAGGTGGAGGTTTGCTGCCTTTTGGTCCATCTCTGTGTTTGTTGCCAAACACAGCAGAAATTAGGTCAACCTAAACTTCCTTGAGAAGGTTGTAACAGTCTGTCTTCAGACTGCATACAGGTTTTCTGAAATGAGGTCTGTATGTCCTTCCTGAAGTATTATTTCCAGCTGGCTGTTGTTGAGACCCAAGGACCTAGGGAGATACATGTTGCACATTGGCTTCATCCTGATACTACAAAAGTGGCCTTGAGCGCTGATCACTTTGAATTGTGCCGAACTGAGGAGTAAAACCTCTCAGTTCAGTTTAGCAGAGCCTTCATTGAAGTAGGCTGAGGCCTCATGCCAGGGGCCTTGCTTGAGATGAAGTGGTTAATTAACCTTATGCGTTGTCTGTATGCGTGGTCCAGAAAAACTACTTAGAATGTGTTCTAGGTTATGGTGCCCCCTGCTGGCGAGTAGTGGTGACGCTGCACTCCCCAGTTTCTACAGCAAGAGACCTTCATTACCAAAAGCTATACGGCAGGAATTTGTACTTTTTCCTCTCCTGCACTCAGCAGCGCCTTCCCAGGGCTCTTGTGTTCCCTCTTGGGCCACTGAGGCTTCACCCTGCATGCTTGCCACTCTGGGCAACCCTTTGAGCCAGCAATGGAGTTAGATGAGTGCTGAAGTTCTCCCTTGCATGGGGCAGTGAGTAAAGTGTGCAAGAGCAGTTCCCTTTCCTGCTGGGCATCAATGGATGGACGCCAGTGTTTCCTGTCTTTCCAAGACTTGGTGTCCTCACTGCTGACCCTGAGCCCATGAATGCTACTGGCATTGTGCTAATGTGCTAACCAAACGCCTTCATCCAGGTAGCCCCTGGTTTGCTCAGCCCATTACTTGCAAGAGAGCTCTTTGTGCCTGACTGATATGGGCAGTACTGCATGAATTCTAGCAAATGACCAGATGTGCCTTTAATTTTCATTTTTGAAACAGGGTGTCAATATGTAGTTTAGGCCTTGAACTCACTACCTATCCCAGGCTGGTCTAGAACTTGCAGTGATTCTCCTGCCTCAGCCTCCCAAGGAGTGCTGGGATTACAGACATGCACCACTATGCTTGGCTCACATATGATTCTCATAGGACTGGATTCTATGACGAATGAACTCTACATGATTCTAGCTAACATGTTCCTAAGGCAGGTGCGTGTGGTTTCCAAAGGCAGAGTTCTGTATATTGACTACTCTTAAGAATGTTCTCTGTACCATCCTTTTGTTGGACATTTGCCAGAAAGGCAGGCCTAACTAGTGGCTGCGCTCTTATTTGAAAATTTTACTTTCACACAGTTTGGGAAAATACCATAAAACTTTGCTTGGAAAAATGGTGTAAGGGTAAGTTTAAAATTTCTGAGTATTATCAGTGTTTGAGAAAATCTGGAATTCCAGATCTGTAGGGAAAAAAAAGTACTGCCCTCTGCTCCATCCACCAAGTCATCAGCTTCAATTCTCTGCTTTAAAATGGGGGATGAATGCATGGTGTGGTGGCACATGCCTGTAATCATAGCACTTGAATGGCTGAGGCAGGAGGATCCCCACGATTTTGAGGTCAGCTTGCCTCTACATAGTGAGTTCAAGGCCAGCCTAAATTGCAAAGGGAGATCTTGTCTCAAAAAACAAAAATAAAATGGAGGTGAGAACATAACTTCTCACCCATTAAGAGTTTGTGAAGTCTATTTCAGTGCTAGTCTCAATCCCTATCAAATAAAAAGCACTTGGCAAATGTTAGTCTGCTCTGATGGCTGTCTTATTTTTCTGTAGACTGTAATAGCTAAAGAGAATAAGATTTAAGTGATTGTCTTTCAAGAGCTCTTTTGACTTAGGGCAGTTTAAAGGAACAGTTGATGCTTTCAAACTCAAAAGTCTGTACCTTAGGAAAAACCATTTAAAATAGCTTCAAACTCAGTAAAATTTTGTAATAAAACAAAATGTTTTATAATACTAATTAAGTCCCATCAATTTTAAGTAATTTAGATTGAGATGATACAAGTATAGATAGATGTAAAACACCTCGTTAAATTGTTTTACTAGTAAAAAGAGTTCATTTAAATTATTTCATGGGAATTTAGCAGTTAGCCCTGGTTTATGTACCAGTGTCCCCAAGGCAGTATTTTTCCAAGTCTCAGGAAAATGGTTGCCCAAAGAAATTGTCTTCAAAAACAGGTTCACTTGGCAATATATTCCTTTTCCAAAGAAATCATTTATATCAGCATACAAAAAACTAAAGCATGGCAGGAAAGTAACCTGTTTACTTATGTCTAAGCCAGCACTCCCCAAATACCCAATACTACAGAAGTTTTCTTTTCTTTTTTTTTTTTTTTTTTGCCTAAACAAGTCCTAGAAACTGGGGAATACTGCCTCAAACAATAATGGTATTTGGACATTAAGAACTTATCAAAATTGCACCTGCTTTTATTCTGATAGTCATCTTTATCTTTCATTTATTCAAAAGTCATCTTTTTCTTTTGGGGAAGAGGGGCAATGAAGGATCTAGCACCTAATGGAGAAAAGCAAATGGCCATAAAGTAGCTGCAAACTGCCAAGCTTCCCTGTGTAGTTCAATATTAATATGAATCTACTGTAACAGCTTTTGATTATAAGGACATAAAGAATAAACTACTTAACATTTTCATTCTATTGCTGCCTGTCTGAATTCCAATTAAATGTGTTGTTTCTTTACAACATGGAATCACACAACATTATAAGAATCATTTATATGCCTTTCCTACCACTAACTGAACAAAAATTAAGCAGCTTCTGGCTAGGCACTGTAGTGGGAATGTAAAACAGAGATAAATGCTCCTATGGGCATCTGGAAGGATGCACTAAGGAAGTACAACAAGTATGGAGGTGGGCTAAAGTTTTGAATTCATTTAGCATGTAATCTAGGAAAGGAGACATAAGTCTTCACCCTACCTGCTTCCATTACTTCAGTTTTATGAATGGCAATAGTAAACGCAAGTGCTAAAGAGAATTGCTTAATAGTTGTATCTAATACCCTTAAAATATATAAAGTACTAAACCAAAATTCTTAAACAGCTTTATTTTAGCAGCTCAATTTTTACATTTTACGTATTTTTCTTTTAATACATTTCTGTTTCTGTATTCTGCATAGATGGCATATTCATTAACTCTTGTATTTGACATTTCATTAGCGATTTGCTGCTACCTGGCCTGAAAGAAGTCACGAGGATAAATGAAATGTTCTTGGTGGAAATGAAGCAGCATTTAACTTCTCAGCAGAACTTTACTTTGATGGAGACCACAGTGTCAGCTTGTCTTCCTCTTCTTTTTCAAATCCTGAGCAGACAGGAGATCTTCCCTTGGGATATTTAGCACAACACTTACGCAGTTCTTCAATGACAGTCTGACACTTTGATTCCATGTAATTGTTGGCTGAAAAACAGGCAGACCCTAGTCATGATCTCTTCAGACTGACTATACAGCAAGGTTTCGATCAGCACTTTCCACCCCTTTTCATTTTCAGTACATATGAAACAAAGCAAGTAGACAGAGTCAAGTCCACTGGATTTTTTCTCAGACCTATCAACAGGTCAATTAGGAAGAAAAGTATAATTTACAAAGATGACAATTTTAATTTATAATTCTTTTAAAGTCAGATTAATAGCTTAATGTGTCTTTTTAAAAAGGTTCACTACTCCTTTTGGTAATTTGACGAATTAGAAAAATGTACAGAACCCATATATGTAAGAATAATTTGGTTTTTATAAAAACATGGAATATACAACAAAGACCTTACAACCTTCACAGCCTAAAATATCACCTTTTTGGCCCTTTACCAAAAACATTTGCAGCAGATTCCAGGGGATGTGACAGGGTGCATGGGAATTAGCCACAGCTCTTAATAGTTACAGGACTCCAGATAAGTTATACAATGTGTCTGTTTTTCTATCTATAAAATGGTGGCCATAGAAGCATCCTGGATAAAAAGGTAAGTGTGTAAAGCATTTGTCATCTACTAAGCATTTAGTCTTTCCAGTTCTCAAACACTGTACTAGCTTTTTAATTTGATACATTCCCCTTTAGCTCTCAGTTGCTACTTCAGGTAAGGTTTTATTTAGAAGAATTAAATGCAAAATAATGTTTTCCTTTAAGAATTAAAGGGTAGAAGAGTAAAACTGAAGTGGTATTATACATGAATGTTTTAGAATAAAAGATTTTATAAAATATTTATATCATAAAATGAACTAAGAATGAAAGTTACATTAAATGAAATACACAAAGTTTTTTTTCTGGTGGTAATTATTTGGAGGAACCTTGACCATTTTTCCTTTGCACCTTTCTATATTTTCATGAGCATCCACCTCTTACTGTAATAATAGGAAAACTGCAAAAGCCACTTAGTATTCTAGTTTTTGTTATTTGTTTTTCTGGCAATAATCATTTGCTGATTAAAAATAGTCCTCTAATATTTGGTCAAACATAAATATGATTTAAAATCTAATGGAAAAATTACATCAAAACTTTTGCCATTTAGAGTTGCTGACTGGCAACAAATTCTACTTGCATTTTCAAACCCCTCCTATCAGAATGCTTTTAAAAAGTGAGCTGTCAGCTGCAGTGAAGACTTATTTTGTTTGGTTTTTGGCAGTGCTAGGGATCAAATCCAGGGCCTTGAGGATGCTGGGCAATTACTTAACCAAGCAGCTGCATCCCCAGCCCCTGAAGACTAATTTTAAAACTAGTCTTTATAAAATGACTTGATCAGTTTAACAGTTTTCAACTTGGCTATGCAATTAAATCATTAACTTTCTAGAATGATTTCTACCCAGGCACCAGCCCAAGAAAATCTGATTTAATTGTTCTAGATAACTTCAGGTGATTCTAATGTACACCTAAGATTGAGAACCTCTGGCTTGGATCACATTACTTTTTATCTCTATCTTTGGCATTACAATGGGAGAAATTTTCAGGATAAATCATAGAAGTGTTACAATCTGAGAAAAGAATGTAGGCTGCTGATAATTAGCCTTTATAATTAGTTCACAGGTAAAGTTGGCATATATTTAAAAAGTATGTTACATACTACCTTGTAAACATTTCTGTATTTCACAGGCTTGTTTCTGGCACGGATCCTTTTGTGGCATTTCCAGAAATCTAAAACAAGAAAAATGATTATTTTGCTTTTTTTCATAAATACTATAAAGCTTCACTGCATGGAATTTTCTTCTGAGAAAAGTAGTATACCCTTACAAATGCTGAAAAATAATTACACTAAAAATATTATTCCCATTTGTATGATGAACCAACTGTATTTTTCATAATGTCCATTTTGTTAAGTTTGGAAGAGAGAGATTTACATGAGAGAAAAAAAACCTTACATTTGATCTGCTTATCTTGAACATTGTAAAGCAATGCTGGGCTACATGAACTGATGCTGCCGCTCACAGGGCCTGGCCCACTGTACAGGTCTATGACTCATGAGGAAACTTGTAAAGTGATTCAATTCTTTGAGCCTTTTTCTTTACCATTTGTGTATAAAATGTGAGTCATACCTACCTCAAAGCCTTGATGGAAGGATTAAATGTGAAAAAGTATAAGAAGTGTGTCGTACAGTGCCTGGAAGGCAGTAAGGACTCAATACATGGAAACTGTTATTCTCAAGACATTTTTAAAATGAGGTCTTACTATGTATATATACCAGGTTGGTCCAGGACTTACGGGGTCAAGCAACACTCTTACTTCAGCCTCCCAAGTAGCTAGGACTACAGTTTACTATGCCTAGCTTGACATTTTAAAAAGTAAAAAGCTTAAAGTATATAAACTGTTATGGTTAAATCAGAAAACTTCACAGGTAGTAAAATGCTTTCCTAGGAGTCAACAATACTTGGTGATGTTACTTCTTGAGAAGGTACCAGCTAAGTGGCTAGAATAATTTTAAGAGCTCTTATGAAGACCAGATTACTTGAAGTATTGTTACCAGAAAAGAAATTTAGGGGCTAGGCATATAGCTCAGCAGTATTGCGCCTACCTGGCAAGTGCAAGGTCCTAAGTTCAATTACCAGTACCAAAAAAAAATTAAGTGCCCACAATTTTGATCAACAACTTATAATAATCTGAAGACACATTTTTCAGGAAGAAAAGAGGCCTAGGAGCCTTTGTAACTAATTTCATTCACTATAGCCCTTTCCCCTTGATAAACCCCTAAATTCTCAATAGATCCAAATTAGGTCAGTACTGGGATGGGAAACACTGGAGCAAAACCTAGGATATTTACAGGGTGGGAGAAGGAAAGGCAGGTGAATTTCTGCAGGGCAAATAAACGACAAATAGATGTTGATGCTTCTAGGAGCTGCTCTCTTCTCTCTAAATCAGTACCAAGTCCTTGGTGATCAGGGCATCTGTTCTGTAGCACGTGCTGACTTTTGTGGGATTCATCAGACCCCAGGTTCCAGCCGGTGATGTCCATTAAAGGTTCTACAGCAATTTCCAAAGGAGTCAACTTCAAGTTAAGTATCCTGACTAAGTGCTTTTGTTGACTCACTCTCTGCCTGTGTAATTCTGTCTGCAGTGTCACTTGTTTTTCATGACCCTTCCTAAACATCTATGTTCTCAAGCAGTTTTTCAACCCACTCCCTCCCCCCTGGCCCAAGAGTGGGTGCACTGCAGTGGTGGATGAAGAGATTGCCATATACTGAACAGAACAGAGGAGCATATCTTCCTAGAATCCCAGCACCTGGAAAAAAAAATCATTAAAATCACCACAACTGAATAGAGTGAAAATGAAGAAGGGAGGAAGGAGGATAAATAGAAATACATACCAAGTTAATCATCAGGCAAAAGCTTAAGCAACAGCTCCTGTACTCCCCTGACCTGTCAGAAAAATAAAAGTTTATACAGTACTCTGTTGTAACAGTCCCAATACAATGGAAAATGATCAAGCAACATGTGTACCATTAAATGATGTTGTATCTGCCACAAGCGAGAGTTGTTATCCATGTAGCGCTCCTCTGGGTAGAGTTGCCACATGAGAGGTAACTGGGAGGTTAGAAGGTGACTTGGCCTAACTGCATCACCTAAGGGAACCTGAACTTGCTGGACTCGTGCCCTTAGGAAACTCGTCTCCTAATGGAAAACAAAACCAAAGACTTCAGAATGTTGACAATGGATAGAAATCAAAGTTACTTGAAAGTAAAATCAAAGAAATAAAATGAAAACAATTACCTCTTCCACGACGGCCACCCATGTACGCTGGTATTCGTCGCGGTAGATACCCTCTTGGTGAACCCAGAGGTGATCGGGTGGAGCCCCCACATCCTCTCCTGCCATTCTGGGCTTTGGGTTCCAACTTTATCCCTGCTTTTCTCCACCTAAGCCTGCAGCACCCGCGCACAGGACACAGGTGTGACTTTCTGGGTTTGAATGAACTCACCACTGAGCAAGGTAACCTGGGACTAGCAACCACTAACCAGAACCAAAACTCATACATGTCTATTTGCACAGCCTGATCAGAACCAAGGACATCTGAAGCTTTCTGCAAAGCTGAAAGTAACAATGAAGTGACACTCAGGCAGAGCCTCAAGGTAATGCTAAGGACTACAAAACACTTATTCAGGCTAAGTTCTGTGGAAGTATAGGACAAACACTACAAGAGGCTGGGTACTAGTCTCACCCATTCTTTGCAGTCACAAAACAATATCTGGCAAAATGTACTTAGCGATAAAAAATGCACAGGAACATGACTAAGGACACACTGTTTTGCCAGGAAGGCAATAAAATAGATATGTATTCCATTTTCCCCAAGTAAAAGCCACTTTTGAGAAGCTTCCATTTTTTTAAATATTCTGAGTCCTCTGCATGGTTTTCTAAACTGAATCAGAATTTAAAGGCAAAAGAGGAAGGCTCTTAAAGGCTCTAAGTAAGAGATCTAAGTAAGGTTACTTATGGCAGTGAGACATTTCCAAAAGGGGATTTTCATGTTAGGAAAAATATTTAGGGCAGCTTTATGGAATTTCTGAGCTATAAGCAATGTGGGGGTCATGGTGATTCTAAACTGAGTGACAACAAATGATAATTGTCTATCTAGATCTTTGTTTTATTTTAATAATGCTACAGGATGTTGCAGGAGCTCATTGTCCCATACATAGGTTTAAATTTTTATTTCCCAAGCCAGAAAAAGCCCCTCTACCTTTTGAGTGGTGTAAAGGAAACACACCTCTATCCAGCCCCTAATCTCACAATAACTTGACATACTCTTTGCATGAGTTAATCTTTTGTGCCTGTGGCCCTGTGGTTTCACGTATTTCTATCTTTCAAAGAGACAAACATGCCAATGGGGTCTCTGCCTCTCAAAACACAGGCTTCCTAGTCCCATCAGGTAGACATTGGGTCGAAAAGAAAATGCAGCATATCTAGGGAGGTTGGCAGACCCCTCAAAGTGAGACTGTACAGAGCAAATCCCATGCCTGAACCAGGAGACAGAACAGGAAAAAGCAAGATACAAATCAAACAAAACTAAGTCCTTTTTTCTCAGGTATAACAACCTGAGTCTGATAATTTTGCAACTAGTTTGCCTTCTCTAAAAGGAAAGTATGAAAAAAATTCTTAAAGCTTAAAGTGGTCTCACTTTGTGAATAATTTAAGAGTATCACATTTGCTTCCCTTGTTCTACCGAGTGGCCCTGGTGTAGGCACCTGTTTCCCCATGGGTGTACTCTCATTTCAAACTCATCCTTAGCCAAACCCTCTTCTGATTCTACACACTCAAAACTTAGGAACTATCTTGGATTTCTTCTTTTTCTTCATATGCAACACCCTATCATCAATTCCAGCAAGAACCTCCACTACCACTATATTGAAAGTAAACTTCCCCCAAATACCAGGCTCGTTTCATGCTTCATACTTTTCCCCCCTGCTTTTTCACTTGTCTAAAATGCATAAGTCTCTAGCTATATTATTTTAAGGCATTTTTTCCATTTAACAGATGTCACTGTTCCACCTCCTTCTTCCCTGAGCTTTGGAAAGAAGTGATGGCAAACAAAAATCCAGTAAATCCTAATATAAAAAATACTATATTAAATATATGAAAATAAATATGAAATACATTAATCAAAAGTATATTAAGTTATGTATTAATGTATAAATTTATACAAAATTAGTTTATATCAAATAAATATATTGATTTTGAGCACAAGTATAGTTGTAGCCAACAATTTTAAAAAAAAATAGAAGCCAAGTGTTAAGGGTTTTAGGACTATTTCAACTTTATACATAGGTCTTAGCAACAACTAATATGTTGATATTTAATTTCTTTTGAATAAAAAAGTTTTATTCTTTATATTAAAATGAAATAATTCATACAGAAGAGAGGGCAGGCAGAATGGAGATGATGTTTGGAGTTCCTATGAGTCACTACAAAATATTCTCTGAAGGGCAATGGTTTGTGCTGCTCTGCCTCAAAGGTTAACATGCTATCATCAGCTAAATGAACCTGAGGACAATCCCCAGCCCCTTACTTTGGACTTGTGTGTGCTACCATTCAGACAGCATGAAGGCCTAGTTAAGAGTACTACAGTGATCAAGTGGCTCTAGAGAAATCACCACACAAATATTCTTGACTAACAACATTCTCAGCACAGAAAAGCAAAGAGTGAGCAAGATGATTCAAAGTCAAAAACTACAAGTTGTTGAATGGGCCACCATTCCCCTGAATGTGATGAGTCATAAAGCACTTGTTTCCATCATTTTTCTTGGTCAAATAAATTTAGGAATCTTGAATTATAAAGCATAGTAGCATAGCAAAAGTTCTGGCAAGTTGTGCAATAAAGAAACTTTATGCTGTTTAACAATGTTTCCTAAATGTATTTGACCAGAGAACCTTATTTTCGCATGACACTTGTTCACAAAATTCACAGCTCCTTGATGTAAAATGGGTCTCTTAAAACCTCAAAATAAACTCACGTACAAGGTACAATACAATACACATAATATAATCCTACGTAATCCAAAGAATATTACCAGATGCAAATACAAATAGATTCCAAAAAATGTTTAGATAACTTTATAGATGTATCATTCACTAAAAGAGATCATCCCAGTGGGGGTCACCTTGACATGAGACCATATTGACAAAAATTCTTTTTAGGCATTTTGAAAATTAGGTTCTAAATAGATAGCATACAGCATAGGGTTTCATCCATCACATCATTTTTCCTTTACCAAATGAACAATTGTCTTTTTTAATAAAAGTATGATTTATTTAATCTCCAGGTGTTTGAATAGTTTTTAAATATTGATCAGTTGAATACACTTACTTTATTTGAAGTCATTTAGTAAACTCATCCACTTACAAAGGGTGAAGCTGCCAATAATACGGTCCCTGGAATCAATCTAGCCTGCTTATGAATCTTGATTCTACCACTTAATGAGCTTTGTGACCTTGAACAAGTTCACTTTTTTCTACCTCATTCCTGAGGCATAAAATGAGAATTAAAGGCTATATTAATCAACAGTACTTATGAAGCAGTTTTGTGCTTTACATAAGGTTACATACATCAATTCATTTAATTTGCATGGTCTCATGAGGTGCTATTAAGTGGGCACTATTGTTACCCTCACTTAAAGGTGAGAAAAGCAAGGCAAAAGATGTTTTTCCTCTTAAAGATGTCTAAAGGAACTTTATAAAACTGAAATATAATGAAAGGGCACAGTAGCCATGAACAGCAAATGAAAATATAATGTGACATAAAATCAAAACTTAGAGATTACAGATAGGTCCAATGTACATTTGAAAAATTTCCAGCCTTCATTGTAACCAAACTCAATCATGGAAAGATGTGCCGCGTGATCCCTAAACATCAGGTAAAAACAGAGGTTGCCGGCATATACATTACAAACGTTTCCACTGGGTTTGAGGCCCTATTCGCTGGAAGACTTGGGTTGGAACTGACTTGGGAGAAAAGAGCAAAGCATCAACACTTTCTTCAAGTAGCAACTAGGGTATGTTCCCTTTCCAGTACTGCCATATATGCCTGGCTTCAAAACTACACATGGATACAAAAACAGAGACAAACTCGGACGGGCCGTGGAGGCAGCACAGCATTCATATTTGTCTGCTTTAGAATCGCTCCTAAAATTCTCGTGGGATTCGTCAACTTGAGTTGGGAGTTCTGTACATTTAAGCCTTGGCACGTCGACGTACCTTAAATAAAATTACTTTTACATACAATTTCACCATGTCTGACAGCATCATGGAAAAAAGAGCTGAGGAAACTCTTCTGGATAGCTGACGTGAGCACCTGAACTTTGAAAACTGAAGTCCCCCAACTCCCCTTCCTTGTACCGAAAGAATGGTTATCTAAAAGCCCTGCTAGGGAGCAGCAGTAGCCAAGCTCGAGTGATACTTTCTCGGATCCAGTATAGCACTGCTTCTGCAAAAGGTTACTCACATGAATATAATGTTTCTTGGGCTAATTACTCCGCCTCGAGAACAGCTAGGCTAACGCTTCCAGGTCTCCCACCCTGAGCCGCTCAAGCCAGTTCGCGACAGGAGCCGGGGCGAGCCGAGGGGCAGCCCGGGCCGAGGTCACCAGAACCGAAGTTGCGAGACGGTAACCGGAAGTGATCCAGGGAGAGTTGTACGAGATTCAGGGGCTGTGACTTAAAATAAAACAAAAGAAAATAAAACCTTAACTGTTTTGGGACCGACTTTCAACAGAAAGTCTCCCTGGCTCAAGAGGCCGGCGTTCGTAGCGACGTCGCCTCAAAGGGCTGTCCCCAAAGAGCGTAGGCCGCGCACAGCTCTCTTCAGGCGGGCAAAATGGGCGCCGTCGCTCGGAAGGCGCCTGCCCGCCCCGGCGCCAGGGCGCCGCACATAGACTGTCTACCTCGGCGGAGGCCGAGAGCACCGCCTCCTCGCCAGCCTGGCTGCCCCCGCCACCCTCCACCCTCGCAGCCCCGGCCGCCCAGCTGCAGCTCCGACCTCCGCCCGCCACCGCCCTCCGCCACGACCGCCACGCCTGCCCCAACCGGCGCAGAGCTTTCCAGGTGCTGCTGGGCCGGCCCCGCCTCTGTCCCGGGCCCCGCCCCGGGCCCCGCCCTAGTCCTGCCCTACCCCGCCCCCGCAGAAGGCGAGTAGAGGCCAGGCCTGGGCGGGGCTCGGAGTGCTGGGTGTAAGGGAAGCGGCGCCTGAGCAGCTGGTTGGTCAAGCCGGAGGGCCTGACGAGGACGTGAGCGGGGTCGGAGCAAGATGGCGGTGCAGGTGGTGCAGGCGGTGCAGGCGGTTCATCTGGAGTCTGACGCTTTCCTAGTTTGTCTCAACCATGCTCTGAGCACAGAAAAGGAGGAGGTGATGGGACTGTGTATAGGGGAGGTGAGTAGGTCAGTCTGACTGGAAGCTCGCTGAGTAGTACCGAGTAGTTCCCGGGGCGGCTGGGAGGCCACAAGAACCTGCGACCCCGATACTTGGATATTCTCTGGAAGGCTGTCTTGCGGGGCCTTTTTCTCCGGCCCTGGCCCTCTTATTCTCCCGCAACTCTCCAGCGATCTGCATAGACCCACGGAGAGCCTTGCTGCTGAGGTTGTCACCCCAAGTGTCCAAAAGTACAAGTTAGGGCTAAAAGCAGTTACAGAATGAGGACATCGAGGTGTGAGAAAGCAAGGAAGTACAACTAAAGCCTCGCCTCCAGCCTTCGCTCTCTGGAAGCGAGGTGGCTCCAAAGCGTTGGAAAGCTTAGCAAAGATGGTAAGAGACAAGAAGGGTTTCGTGGACCTGAAAGTTCCCATCGCATTGGCTTGCCGAGGGGCGAAAGTGGATGAGGAAGTACAATTTAGTTATTTATAATCTAAAAATTCTCCGGTCTTTAATAGTAGTATCAGTGAACATATGAACTAATTTTCATATTGTCTGCATCTCTGTAGTCAAATTAAGTGTCCTTTGATCAATAATGTTTTCTGTTCCTTCCCACTCTAGTTGAATGATGATACAAGGTAAGACTACATTTATTTACTCATATCTTTGATTCCTAAGTTATTTTTAAAATTATGACGTTTGATATCATTGTGTAAGGATTCTGTGTTAAATTACCATTACAACTTCAGAATACCTTTAGGTCTACAGTTTGAGTTCCACACCAACCCTGAAAGTTTATTTCTGCCTAATTTAATAGGAATTTCACTTGAGATACATATGATCTTATGTGAAAAATATGATTAGAGTAACAGGATCATAAGTGAACCTGGTGAGGCTCTTAGAATTTTATTGACGGTAATAAAGGCAGCATGTTGAAAAGACTACCAATATGTTTCACATTTAGTGCTATTATTTTTTTCTTGCATGATGTGTTTTATGTTCCCTGTTTCCTAAAATGTCAGTGAGATAGCAGTAATTTTCATCGTGGGAGATAATGTATACATTCAGAGGCTTCCTCCTATTGATCCGCTCTTGTATAAAAACAGTGGCTTTTTTGCCTTCTCCCTTGCTGGACCCTGTGTGATTCCAGAGATCCCCAGTAACTTACATGGTCGAGGGTCAACCATTTGGGTAACTTTTACTTAAATTTCAAAGCATAGCTTACTGTATTTCTCAACAGACCTCCATAATACCTAGAAGTACTGTCTAGCAGCTCCAGCCCCCAGCACTTTCCCTCCCGTTTTTGTTCCTGCTAAAGTTACATTGCAAAAACTGTTAATCCGGTTATTTTGCTTTAACTCCTTTTGCTATTCCAAATCCAAGTTCCCCTTTCCCCCAAATTTATCTCCAATAGGAGTGACTCCAAATTTGCCTATACTGGAAATGAAATGCGCACAGTTGCTGAAAAGGTATGTGTGCTGGAATTCTGCATGTTGGCAACTTGCAGCTGGGAAGGGGTTTCTGAACTTTGATGACCTCAACCAGATTAGCAGCCCTTTCTGTGGCTGGGGAGGGTGCTGGTTCCAGTAAATTTAGAAGAGAAATCTACCCACTAGAAATGGGATCTAATTTTTTCTTCTTTTAAGCTATTTGTCCTTGATCAAAATGAGTAATCACTATCACTCTCTTCTCCCCCCCGCCCAGATCCATCACTGCCTTTTTCTAACCCTTCTCTCCCTTCCCTTGAGACTTTGACATCTGATTCATTGTGTTGTCACCTCTGTATCCTGAGTCTTGGCAGCTACTCATGTAGCCTTTCTCTTGCAAACTGTCTGTATTAGCATAGTTCTTAGACCACTTTGGCTTTTCTCCTGTCTGCATTTCCACCCCACCTTTTTATGGTATGTGATAGCCTAATTGTGGTATAATCCTGGTGAATTTTTCTCCCAATACATCACAAATACCTTTGTAAAATGCAGTAAAAATGAATTACTTCCTCCCCTTCCTCCAAGCTCTTAGGCAGCAACTCTACTTACATATCCTTATACACAGACCTTTCCATCTTAATCACTTAGTGTCTTTTCTTCCCATATCAGAAAAGGTATCTTCCTCTCAAAGCTGCTGCTGATTCTACTCTCCAGCCACCTCATTGATGTTTATCTTTTTCCCTGAAACTCTGAGCTTCCCTGGGATTTTGGGGGGTTATGCTTCTTTTATTCCTCTCCTTTCCCCCATATCCTTTATAAACTCTTGTTTCTCTGTCTGTACCTTAAATGTCATTTGGGCACTGAAACCTCTAGTGTGTGTGTGTGTGTGTGTGTGTGTGTGTGAGAGAGAGAGAGAGAGAGAGAGAGAGAGAGATAGAAATAGAGATAAAGAGTTTACCCTGAGTATCAACTGCTAAATATATATGCTGAAACTTAATGATATAATTTTTTGAGTTTATATCTTTATCTTGAATTTTATATAAATTTGTATTGTCTAAATTAGATATTAAATTTTATGAGTTCAGCAAGCTTTTTAATTAGTGTAAGTATGCTATTTTTTATCCTTTTGTTTTTAGTCTTTCTATGGACTAATGCTTAAAATGTCTCAGTTCTATCTCATATCATTTTTAATAATGCAGTCTGATAATCTTTTTGATTATTTACTCCAGTTACATTTAATATAATTACTAATATATATTGGTTACAATTGCCATCATTTTGTTTTCTATTTGACCCACTTTTGGTTTTATATTTTCTTTGTTTTCTTGCTTTCTTTTGGGTTAATCAAATGGTTGTTGTTTTATTTTGTTTTGTTTTGTTTATCTTATAGGAAAGGTGAGTGGCAGCCACAGGTATTGGGTTGACCTGAACTGTCAAAGTCTCTCCAGGTTACTCTTGCAAGCAGTTGGAGATCCTATAGCCATACCAGCCATCGCCCTGGGAAACATGCTTTCAAATATGTTTTACTAATTTCACTTCAACTCTCCATTAGTTATAACATTCTTTTATTATTCTTTTAGTGACTATCCTACATAGTGTAGTGTGAATTCCTGATTTATTACAGTCTGATACAAATGGTTATTTTTACCATTTCCCGAATAATATAGATGCTTTTCAACTTACAATTTGGTTATGTCCCAGCAAATCCAGTGAGTTTAATATTGGGACATTAGACTGAAAATTTTATAAGCTAAAATTGCATTTGATATGTCCAACTCACCAGACATCATAGATTAGTAAGACAGACAATACACTGTATAATATTGATTGTTTTCCTTCATGTTTATGTGGATAACTGAGCTGCAGCTCCCTGCTACTACCCAGGACTGTGAGGAAATATCATACTATACCTCATATATCACTAATCCGGGAAAAGATAAAAAATCAAAGTGTAGTTTCCAGTGAATGCCTGTTGCTTTCATACTATGATAAATTAGGGACCATCTGTACTAGAACATTAGAACGTTTTGTTTCCATTTATTCCTTCCCACCTTTTGGGTTATTGTTGACATTTTAATTCTGTGATTACTCACATGACATCATTAAGTTTTCTGCAGTTAATAATTCATTATTTTTATCCAAATACTTAATCTCTATGGTCCTTGCCACTCCTTTCTTCATTTGGGGGGTTTTCTGTGCTGATAATGAATTTCCTTCATTGTGCATCTGAAAAATCTCTTTATTTTGCCTTAATTTTGAAGGATATATTTTTTTTCAATATAGAAGTCATGGTTGACAAGTATTTTTTTAGCATCTCATTCTATTTTGGCTTTATTTATTTATTTTTGTTACCAAGGATCCAACTCTTGACATTGTGCTTGCCAGACAGGCACAAATGCCGCTGAGCTATATCCTCAGCCCTTGGGCTTTCATCGTTTCCATTGAAAAGCCAGGCATTTGTCTTTCCTTGAAAGGCTATGCATCTGTCTATTTCTGCTTTTGTTTTCTTAATGCCTATCAGGCATTGTACTGGTTGCTGGCAATAAAAACAAATAAAGTCCCTGCTCTTAAGGAGCTTAAACTTTAATGTAGATAAAATTGCGTGAAATAAATATAACAGTATGTATTCTAACAGGTATAAGTGAGTACATATTATAAAAGAAGTTATATGCAGAAGAAAATGATTACTTTTGATAGAGTGATCAGGCGATTTAAAGGATATGAAAGAGTCTGCCATGTGAAAAAAGGAAAAAAAAAAAGGCTGGGAAGCACCCCATAGTTAGGACAGGTATCTGGGAAGCTACAAACGACCTGATAATGCCAGAGAACTATGCAAAGGTACTCATACATGCTTTTCGAAAGGACATCGCTTGGACAGCTTTTTGTTTATTGAAGAAAGTGGAAATACGGTTATAAAAATAGCATTTAGTATCAAAGGATCCTTTGTTTTGAAAATCAGTTCTACCATACCGTTAGCTCTCTTAAGATAGTAGAAATTGAAAAGCTGAATTGGTTAAATAGCTTTCTTGTTTGAAAACAAGATTAAAATTGCAAGCTGAATATAAAAACAAATAAAATCTTGGCCCACGTATTTGTAACAGAATACCAAAAAGAGATAAATTTTTTTTGTCTGTCTATTAGAAATATAATCTTGGGCTGGCCATGTAGCTCAGTAGGTAGAACACTTGTCTAGCATGCATAATGCCTTGGGTTCCATCTGCATGATGGAATGATACATGGGGTGATAAAAATAGGGTGCATGTTTGGATTTGAAAAGAACTTATTAAAACATTCTTTCTATTTTATGATCACCCCTCATTGATCAACCATTTGCGGCAGTTTCTGTCAGATAAAAACATGATGTGTTGTCACCATCCCTACTCACTGCATCTGGCACCTTGTGACTTTGGCCTCTTCCCCATTGCGTCTATGAAAAGTAAATATTTTGGAACAATTTAGGACATTGAGGCAGCCATGACAGTGCAATTAATGACACCCAGAAAAGAGGACTTCCATCCTGCTTATGAAAGTGGTGAGGGGCCAGAGATTTAGCTCAGTGGCATAAGCGCCTGCCTTGCAGCGCATGGTCATGAGTTCGATCTCCGGTACAAAGAAATAAAAAGTGGTAAGGAACATGAGATCAGTATGTTCAAAGCAAGAGGGAGTATTGTGAGGGAGATTGATGGCAAATATATCTTTTACTGTAACACAGTTTTTTGGAAAAGTTTTTGTAAACATTCCTTCTATTTTTGATCACATTTCATATTTGTGGGTTTGAAATCAGACTTGCCACATTTTAGGGGCTCAGCAGCCATGGCTCTTGTGTTTCATGGTGTGGTTCTACAGCTTACTTCAAAAGCTTTTTAGGTTTTTCATCCTTGTCCCTTCTGTGTCGTGCAGTGCAAGCCCGTCTTTTCCCTGAAACTTGACTATTGCACTGTTCTGATTTTGCCTTCTGCGTCTTACCCCTTGTTCTATTCTAGCTTATCAAAAATATAGGTACCCCTTTTGATTTAGACCTTTGCTTCCTTTCTCCCACCTTTTTTATTCACTCATAAAATTTTACCACTCATCCACCTGCCTGTTAATCATGACCGTATTGTACATTATCTCATCCCAGATCAGCTCATCTGAAAATGAGCTCATTTCTCTATTTCTGACCATTTCTAGGCTTAAATCTGCCTCCCTTACTCCATCTAATCTCAGACTTTAAACTTGAGAATCATCATTAGTGTTTTTCTGTCCTGTGTCTATGGTTCATAAGCTACCAGATCATGATTCTTTTTAATGGGCCTCAAATCTGTTTTTTCTGTCTCTGCCATCTCCTTAATCCAGTACTTTATCATTATTTAATGTATAGGTTGTCTGAAATAATTCTTTCTGGTTTATCTTGAAAATCACAGCTTGTTACTAGATATCTTGTACATTTACACTGCAACCTTCCTTCTTTGACTTACCGTTTGTGTTAAACCTTAAGCTCTGTGTGTAAATACATTAGCCAGGTTGTCTCTCAGACTCTTCGTGTATACTTTACTAGTGCATATACCCATTTGACATGCATGTAGAAATTCTGTGAGCACACATACACACAGAGACCAATCAATGAGCAGATACACTTGCCTACCCTTTCTATGAAGGTTTTTGTCTAAATGGTTCTTTTCCTGTGAGCTCCCTAGAATTGATTTGTTGCATCATTAGCATTGTTTCATGTATGATTGCTCCTTAGCCATATCATTAATGTTTTGAACACTTCGTCGGCACTCTGACTTATATTCCTTTATGTGACAGTGTCTTGCGCATAGTTGTTACCTGAATAATTATTAAACAGTCAAAAAGGTGTTCCTTTATCTAAATACTAACTTTTATATTTTTTCAATTTCTTTCATTTGAAACATTTCATTATTCATGCAAAAAGTATCAGTTTTCTAAAATGAAGTCTTTAACCAGATACTCTAGTAAAGTGCAATCCTATAATTACCAGTAAATATTAGAGAAAAGCATTGTAAGTGAGAGATAGTAACCATTTCTGTGGATTTTCCTTTAGGTTGACACCGTCAGAATTGTTCACATTCATTCTGTCATCATCCTCCGACGTTCTGATAAGAGGAAAGACCGGGTAGAAATCTCTCCTGAGCAACTGTCTGCAGCCTCAACAGAAGCAGAGATATCCTTATTGATCAATAAGAAGCTTATATTGCTCTGGGGCTTTGGGGCTGCATTGATCTGCTTGCTGTAAATTTTTTTTCTTTCTTTTCTTTTCTCTCTTTTTTTTTTTTTTTTGGTCCCTTTGAGATGGGGTCTCATCATGGCAGTTCAGACTGGCTTTGAACTCACTTTGTAGCCCAGGCTGGTCTCTAACTTGCAATGATTGGCCTGCCTCAGCCTCCTGTGAATCTGGGATTACAGAAGTGTGCCACTATGCCGACTGCTTGCTGTAAATTTTCTTGCAGTTCCATGTACCCTACTCTTCCCTTCTCCATTCTTTTCTGTCCCTTCCATTTTTCCTAAAATTATGTAATTAATTTTTAGGTCACTCACTATCTTGATCTCTACCCTTTTGAGAGATTTGCTTTGGAGTCTTCTCCTCAAAAAAAAAGGTAGTGTTGAGAAATGAATGCAGTATTCCATGATAAATAATCCAAAGGATGGTTGAGTAGGATGTACTCTCTGTACCTCACCTATAGCAAGTAAATGTGCATCAGTACTTTTAAAACTTTATTGCTATCTTGGATTAAGTTGGTCTTGTAGACAACTAGAAATAGATTTTAAAGTACGTAGAACCCAGATATAGTAAGACACTTTTACAAAGTACAAAACGGTATAAAGAAATAGGTATTTCTTCAAATTCTGTGGCCCAGTTCTTCCCTAATTCCTGATACCTGGATATCAGTTTTGCATATATCCTTACAAATGGATTCTGTAAATACATATAGGAATGTTCTCTGAAAAATGTATTGAATACCTTCTTACATACAGTACCCATATTTTTCACCTAACAGTGTTTCTTGTAATTTGTCTGCTTCAATGTAGAGAGCTTCCTTACCCTGATGCATAACTTGCTTACTTCTCTTGTCCTTGTGCAAATGTTTAAGTCATTTGTAAACTTGTATGCTGTTGCATTTTGCAATGTGTGCTGATATGTAGGATGAATTCCTAGAAGCAGGGCATTTTTTTTATTCAGAATGCTTATTTTAAAGTTAGTTGAGGTTAAAAATCCTTAGTTTTCCAATAAGTTGTTAACATCCACACATGTTAAATTCATTATTAGAAATTTATAACAAAAAAATGGACCCGTAGGTAGTTCTATCTGATAATATGAGCACTTTACTATGACATCTATTCTTTTATCAAAGCATCAATTGTCATACATCTGTCTATTCTTTTTATCTTTTTTATCCCAATCAGACATGGACATGTAGAAGGAACAATGTTGTTTTCACTTCTCATGTCCTAGATTTTAGTTTCTAGAATTGATAGACTCAAAATTCATGTGGACAGTGATGGTAAACCTTTTAGAGCTTTCAGTGATAATAAAAAGCCTGTTACAGCAAGTGTGCCATAGGTTCACCACCACTAACAGAGTATTTCTTTATGTCTGGTGAGTGCTTTGCTCCAAGAAACTTTATATTTAAAATCTTTTCTTAGAAATATAAAAAAGATGTGGAATCTCCTGAGTGTCTTTAAAATGTTAACAATATTATAAATTAATTATATCCATAATACATATCCCTGCTATTCAGATAATTCTTTAAGCAATATTCAAATATACTTATCTTTTGTGTTTACTTTAGAACCTACTTTTGAGCTTTCAATAAAACTATAGAGATTTTGCAAATATTTAATAATGGCAGCCATGGAAATATACATCTACTGTAACATTTTCACTTTATATCTTTTGAGTAATTTTGTGTAATTTCCTGTTCTGCATGATTTTATCTTTGTAGTCTCAACTTGGCTGCCTTTCAGGCTGATGTAACAGTCAGTACATCACAGGGTTTGTAAATACAGTGTCCATTCTGCCATACCAGTTGTAGCAGTAAAATCTAGTAAGGCAGGAAGTCATCATTCGTAACAATTGCAGGCCCTCCTTCTTAACTGTTTCTAAGGAGCTCTGTATAGATTTTAAGAGAATATGATTTTAGTTCATTTTCTTTTCCGCCTAGATGAAGGTTTAATAGTAGCATTTGTTACATGGCAATTTTGTCACTAGAAAGTACAAGCTTTAGCCGGGCATGGTGGCTCACGCCTGTAATCCCAGCACTCAGGAGGCTGAGGCAAAAGAATCGTTGTGAGTTCAAGATCGTGGGCTAGAAAGTGAGCTCAAGGCCTGCCCTAACTGCTTCTCAAAAAGACAAAAAAAAAAGAAAGAAAGAAAGAAAGAAAGCAAAAAGAAAATGAAAGAAAGTTCAAGCCTTAAGTACCACTCAAAATCTTGTAGCAGCATAGGGGAAAAAGCACTTTTCTCTAGTGGAGCCTCCTGATTTCATCTTGTCTACTGACATATTTCACCACATCACATCATTCCTGAAGAAATGAACTCAGTTGATTTAGTTACTGAGGTGTCTCTTCATCGGATGAATCTTTACCAGTTGCACCTTTGAATGATTTGGTAACATGTAGAATAAAGGCTTGTTCTACTGAATCCCAGGCATGCAGTCATCTTAGTAGAAAGCATAAGCCTGGCTGCAGATGCTGGCATTTATTTGTGAAGAAGCTGCAAGCCCCACAGCCTGGAAGCTTTTATGCTTCTGACTCCATCCATGTGCAGAGCTGGGGCCTGGGTCACATGACAGCATCCCTTTCCCACAATGCCATGGCTCCTCATGAGACTCTAGCCTTAGTAGAATTTTGTAATGTTGCCAATCTGATTAAGTAAAACAGTAAAAGCTGTTTTGTTTCTTGTAATTTTAATTTGTATCTTATTGTATGTAAACTTGATGCACTTTTCATTTTTAAGAATCATTTGTATTTTTCTCTGAATTACCTGTTTACTTCCTTTCTTCATTTTTCTATTGATTTGATAATCTTTTTCTTAATAACTTATAAGTACTTATGTAAGAAGGCCTTATGTAATAAGGATAGTGATTTTTCCAGTTTATGTCTGTGTGGTTATTCCTTAATAAGCTGTTCTTTTTACATTTTTTTATGTAGTCAGATTTATCAATCTCTAGTGTATATCTTTTGCATCTTGTTTTTTTAAACTATTTTGAAATAATTACAGATTCGCGGACAGGACAGTCTATGGTTTTAATCCAGTTTCCCTTAATGGTTACATGTTACCCAATTATGGCCCAATGGGAAAACCAGGAAATTGATGTTGCTACAATGTGTATAGTTCAGTGTTGTTTTCTCACATGTGAAGTTACAGTGACCACATCAGTAAGGACACAAAGTTGTTCTTTATAAAGACCTTCTTCTTGCTTCTTTTCATAATCACATCTACCTCCTCAGTTTTACTGACCTTGGCTTCTGGCAACCACTAATCTGATCTTTGTTTCTTCATTAAGGGTTACGTTTTGCTACTGCTTTTTATCCCTGGTATTGTTTTTTACCCTTGTCCTTTTTTCTTGATGGCTGGCTCTTTCTCTAGTTTTGAACTGATCCATGCACCAATGGTATTCCAGGTGTGTTTGTGTCCTGGGGGCAGGCTAAGCCCTTTGAGTCTTACCTTAAGGGTGAGCTGTGCTCTCTGGAATAGCCTGGTGTGTAGTGAGGTCCGCAGCCCTTAGGCCAGACCTTCCTGAGAGTAGTGCCCTGCTCTGGGTGATGGTCTCTGATGGCCCAGTAGGACCTGCTAAACTCTCCTTCTGGAGCAGAGACAGTTACTTTTCATCTTCTTTAAGGGGCAGTGTCTTTTCCAGGCCACAGGGAGTTACTTCATATGCTTGTCCTTACCTCTGATCTGCTGCATTCCTGAACAAGTCTCACTGGGGATATCCAAGGTTTGCTCCCTCTGCAGCACTGTCCTGTCTGGTCCCCTACCATGAAAACACCAGCCACACAAACTCAGCTGGTGCTATGTCATGTCCTGAACTCTTGGCATCTCTCTTGGTCTTGCTCTCATTCTTGCGCTTTCTTCCTCTCTCTCTTTTCTTTTCTTTTTTTCCTTCCCAGCTGCCATGAGAAGAGTAACTTTGCTTACCATAGGCTCTCTGCCGTGATGGTTAACCTTGCCTCAGGCCTGTGAGTCAAAATAAATCTTCGCCCTTTTTCTATTTTTGTGGTACTGAAGATGAACCTCAGCTATTTCCACCGAGCTACATCCTCAGCCCTTTTTTATTTTGAGACAAGGTCTTGCTAAGTTGCCTATGCTGGGCTAAAATTTGAAATCATTCTGGTTTGGCCTCCCCCAGAGTGCTGAGATTACAGGAGTGCACACCAGGCTCAGCTGTCTGCTCCTTTTAAATTGTTTACCTCAGGTATTTTGTCTCAGTGAAGAAGGGTGACTAACACACTTCCCTAATCTGTGGGCTGGAAGTCTCAAGAACTCACCTTGTTTCCCATCTAGTAGTGGTCTTCCTTACATGATGACCAATGTCCATGCAAATTGTTGCTTTGTGTATTTTGTCTAATTGCTTTGTTATCATCCTTTTTTATCTGTCTTGGCCAAAAGCAGAAAGCCCATCCATTGATGCTTACAAAGCAAATATACTTTCTCAAATAAACTTCCCAGGATGTAACTATAGAAAAATGTTTATTATTTGGATTACATATTGTAGTCTCAAACTGAAGCTAGTCCATTTTCAGACAGTACAGTTGCCATTTCTTCCGCACTTAACGACCACACAGCTGTGTGACTCATGTCATTTACTGTTCACGGCTGTGTCAGGCAACTGAAGAAATAGGCTAAGAGAAGTTAAGTAACTTCTCTTGGCATTTGAGCATTTAAAAATACATTTAAAAGGTATTGTTCTTCAGACTTAATCTTACACAAAGGATTACTACGTTTTAATGTAAGTAATTGGTAGGAAAGCTAACCAGCATCTTCTAGGCTAGCAGAAGCTGTCTTTGGGTAATACTCTCAAATTCTAGCCTAAGATAGTTACTGGAAATTTTTATTTCTACAGCAAAAGAGGAAAATATCTTTCATATTTCTAGACAAATGGGGTGACTAAACAGGAGGTGTTTGTTCATTTGGTCACTGAAACCATATCATTTGCTGTTGTTGACACTGAGAACCTGCCAAAGAAAAATGAAGACAAAAATTCTTGGGGCTAGGGGTTACCGTTCAGTGGTATAACACTTGGCTAGCATCTGTGAGGCCCTGAGTTCAATCCTCAACACCAAAAATAAATACATAATAAAGAGCAAAATAATCTTATATTTCTTTTTCCATAAGTGATTAAGACTGAAGTTATAGAGGACAGAAAATTCTCAAGTTGATAACGCCAGTAAGTTCCGAGGGTTTTAACAGGCTTCTTTGTAGGTAAATAGTGGTCAGCATTTGAATGATCAAACATGCCCTAAACTGGATTAAGAGTATTATGTATATTTACATAATTATAATCCCAATTGTAATACAATTATTGTACATTACTGGGAACCATATAGATTCTATTACAAAAAAACTTTCAGCAGTTAGGAGAAATTCTGAGCATCAACTTTATCTCATTATGTTATTAAATTGTAATAGCTTTATTTTAAATTTCAGGATGCTTTCTGAGCCCTTATTAAAACACTTTGAAAATGCCTTGACAGACACACAGGTTGGCAGAACTAACAGGTCGCCCCATGAGAGTTGTGGGCTGGTATCATTCCCACCCTCATATAACTGTTTGGCCTTCACATGTTGGTAAGTTGCAATGTAGATTAGCCTCAGAAATGAATATTCTTTTTCCTTTTCCATTATATAGGCCATGATTATTTTAAACCAAAATTTGATTGTCCTTAAATGTCATTTTGATTTATGTTGTCATGTTTTAAAAGTAATAATTTGTGTCACATTATTCTTAAGAGTGAACAATAAAATTTTAGCATCCAGTTTTGACTATTTAGGGAATTAGGACTCAAAGCCTGACAACCAGCTGACATCCAAAAATAATTAAAGTTACTGAAAATTACTGATTGCTAAATACCACTACTGTCCAGTGCATGTCTATTCTGCAGACTCAAAAGAGTAAGGGTGAATTTTGCAAAATTGGTTTTTATAATCTGTTTATACATAATTCAGTTTAGCTGTTGTGGCTCTCATAATTCATTTTAGCACATCTTTGTCCCTCTAATCAATACAATGTAACTAAGCTGTTTTTTCTTTCTGTAACCTTTTTTGAGAATCATGGTTGATTTTTTTTTTTTTTCTCTACCTGCCTTTCAAGAAAAAAAGCAAAATAACTGTGCTTGAGGAGAATTAATTTATTTTACCTTTGTGAGCACTGATTGTTAACTATGTGGTACTGGTTTACAAATGTTTCCTCTGATCTTTATAGTAACCTGTGGGATGTGGATTACAGATCTTCCCACAGAGGCTTACATAAGTGGCAGAGCTGAGGTTTGAACCTATATTGTCTATGTCACTAAGCACATTGTTTAGGTCAACTTTTTTTTTCCATCAATAGGCTTTCTGTGTGATGAAATTCCACTAATTTGCATTCTAGTTTAAGCTCCGAATCTCTGTACGAACAGTAGGTAGTAAAATGTTCACTGACCTGCTCTTCTGTGTAGCACTGTTTTAAGACCACCCAGTTGAATCATTTCAAATGTTGCTATTTGATGCTTACTTTTTAATCTCCTTTCTGAAAACTGAGTAGCTTTTAAATAGTGGGTTTTTATTTCTTTTTTGGGGTTGTCGTATTCAATTATATTGCAGTCAGTTCTATGTAGAGGCTTCCTCTAAGAATGTACTCCAAAATACTTCTCCTCCTCTTTGTCCTCTTCCTCCTCCTCCTCCTTTTTTTGTCTTTTTTTGAGACAGGCTCTTGCTATACTGTTCAGGCTGGGCTTGAGCTCACTTTGTAACCCAGGTTGGTCTTGAGCTCACAATGATCTTCCTGCCTCAGCCTCCTGAATGCTGGGTTTAGAGATGTGTGCCACCATACCCAGCGCTCCATACTTCTATTCTTTAGTAACAAGTGTAGTCATTTTCCTAGAAGCTACTCATTAAAAGACTTTGTTTTCTACCCAGGTAATATTTTTATCTCCTTTCAAAGCCTTTCTGTCTCTTTCAGTCCCCTTTGGAGGAAATTATCAAATTGGCAGGAGGGAGTCTGTTAAAGTTTTCAGTTTCTGTTTTAGTGCTACATTTCATAGCAAGGCTACTCTAGGCAGCCTACAGTTACAAATACTTTATTACCTAATAGCAAACTTTTCATAATATTTTCTTAACCTAGCAAAATGTTTGTACTTTGGCAATTATATTGGCCTTATGATATATCCCTGTATAGAACTTGAATTTTGGAAGGTCTGTATGCCACTATATCTTTAAATCAAGCATGCAAAATACAGTTTACTAACAGAATGTTTTTATTTTTATTTTTATTTTCAGATGTTCGAACACAAGCCATGTACCAGATGATGGATCAGGGCTTTGTGGGTCTTATTTTTTCCTGTTTCATAGAGGATAAAAACACAAAGGTAGCACGTTTGTGTGTGTGTGTGTGTGTGTGTGTGTGTGTGTGTGTGTGTGTGTGTGTTTACACACAGAGTAGAGAAAAATCTCTTGCAATTTAATGGTATGACCGGGGAATGTATCAGTGAGAAGGACTGTTGAGTCAGTATCCAAAGAAAGTGAGGGAGTAAGTCTTGAGCATTTCTGAGCACAACAGTATTCCAGGCAAAGGAAATAGCCAGTGCAATGACCCCAAATAAATGTGGCATGTTAAGGGAACACTGTTGTCCCAGTGTCCTGTTTCATTATCCACCTTCCCTCTTGGCAGTCTCCCTGATGGGATGTTAACTCATTTGTTCATCCTAAATGGGGTCCAGAAGATAATGAGTTCGAGATTTTACAGGGTCGTCCTTGGCTTTGGCTCTGGAGTTGGGAAACCACTAGAGAGTGACTTTATATTTTCATGTGATCCCTGTGGCTTTTGTATTGGTAACAGACTGGAAGGGGGTGGGTAGGGATAGGGTTCATGGCATCAGTGAAACCACTGAGGAAGTAATGAGGTGGTAATCTAGGTAAGAGTTGTTTGAAGTTTGACCACAGTGGTGGAAGTAGAAATGATCAATTGTCAGATTAGTTACATTTTTAGAATCTATGTTGCTAATGAATATTCTCTATCTTCCAGAAACATTGAAGTTTAATATTTTAAACTTTATATTTTATTTAAAATACTTTCTGCCTTGTCATCATAATTTTATTTATTTTATTATCGCAAGTAGTTGTTAAATGAGTTTGTCAGCTTCCAACATACCAGTTTGAATGCTGTGGTTCTTACATTTGCTAGGTGTTCTGTCACATGAGCAGATATATATCACTGTGAACATCTTGTGTTAATCCTTCTTACAGAAATTGATTGCGCCATATTTTATCTTTAGAATCTCCTTTAACTTTCCACTTTCAGAAGGGCCTGTGGGTTTTAGGGACTACTAAGTTACTATTGAATTTCTAACACATGGCAATGAATAATGGTTGAAGAGATAGAAATTCTGATTTCATTATTATACATATGTTGAATTACTATAATACATTCCATAAAGATGTACAAATATTGTATCTTAATAGTTTTAAAACAACACCAAAAATTAATCATTTGTGTAACATTTGTTTTCTTTTTTTAAATAGACTGGCCGGGTACTATACACTTGCTTCCAATCCATACAGGCCCAAAAGAGCTCAGAGTAAGTATGACAAAGACATGTGTAGGGTGATTGGGTGATTTTTGGTCAGAGGAGTTGATTGTTTTGTTTCATTTTATTCCTGTTACTTGTAAGACACTAGCAACTCTGTATTTCTAAGTATACCACTGACAGCTGTATAAAGAATTAGAATCTTTATGGCAGCTTAGATATTCAGGGTGTAGGGCTAAGATCGTATAAGTAGTCTCTTCACTATAATGACATCACATTATTGTTCCACATATCCTAAACTGATTTGCACTGCTAGATTTTCTTTCTGATGAACTGAAATGTAGAGACTGAATATGCAGAGTGTTACAGGTTTTTATAGATTCTTTGCTGGGCCATGAACTTCAGAATTATAGTATTTCATTGAGATGTTTGGCTAGGTTAATTTCTTCAGTACAATTCAACTTAAGTTAACAAATCATAATTGAGTGCTTTCTGTATGCCAGCATCTGTGATAGGCACTGAAGAGATGAAAGCCAAGCTCCTTGTAGAATTGAGAAATGGAGGCAAGCTATCTTAAACATTTATTTTTTTAATAATGTTGGTTGATTTATTATAGCATTATTTGAAATAACATAGTACTGGGGAAAAATTTAGATGTTCATCAGTACAAAACTAAATAAATGAGTTATAAGAAATTCATATAATGGAGTAATACACAGCCTTAATAAACAATTGTTAGGAGTCAGTATTTTTTAAAAGACAGTATACATAGCATGCTGCCATTTGTGCAAAGGTACGGAAGAGTAAAGATACAGCTGAGTATTTGCTTGTAAATATGGAAGTATCTGGAAGGGAACACATCGGGCACTTCAGGAGGCAGTAAGTGGATGTGAGGGACCAAAGGGTACTGAGACTTCACTGGATCCTCTGTGTAGCTTTGGAATATGGTGAATCATAAGAAAGTGTTTCCTATTCAAATTTTAAATTTTTTACCAAACTAATAGATACATAATGCATAAAATGGTATTGAATGGTTTGTAAGTCTCATTCCTCACAAAGAATCACTTCCATTCCCTAACTTTGTTTTTAGTTTTCTGATATTTACTTTGATATCTGTAAATACGCTTATACACTATCTTAATCTACCAAATTTAGATAAAATCTGTTCTTATTGTGTTGTCTTGTTCTCACAAATGAAGATTTAGTTCATTTACACTACTCCATCTCCATTTTCTCCAAAGTTATTACATTACTTTTTATCATCCTTTTGCTGGTTACTTTCTAATCTCTTTATTCATTCTAGCAACAATTGACAATAAATAGTACCTTCTGGGTCACTAGTATTGCTTGCAGTTTTACTGTAAGTCTTTACATTTTTAAAGATGTAAACATCTATATGTTTGCCCAGTTTTAACCCTGATTTTCTAAATTTTTAATTCTAAGAATGGAAAATAAAGCATTTGTATCATTATAATTATGTAAATATTGCTCCCTGTGCAACAGAACAGTGCATATTGCTATACTATGATTTCACTTTCTTCCTTGGGTACTGACATCCTGGAACTTTCCTGCATTGTGCTTCTGAGTTGGATCCATTGTGGTCTAGATTCTTAGTTTACTCTATCATTTTGCTGGAGGAGATCCTCTGGTAACTTCCTAAGAATGGTGTCCATTTGGGCTAATGTGTCAGTCCTATTTGTCACTGTTTTTATTCTTAATGATAGCCTCAATAGGTAAAGAACTCTAAATGACATTATCCCCTTCAGAATTTTTTTTTTTTTGAGGAGAAAAAAGTTTTCACTATGTAGTTCAGGCTGGCCTTGAACTTGAGGCAGTCCTCCTGCCTCAGCTTCCTAAGTGCTGGGTTTATAGCCATACACCACTATATGTGGCTCCCCTCAGAACTTTGAAGGTATTCTTTTGTTGTGATTAATCATCCAGTGTTATTGGTCAGTCTTTTGCCAGTTCAGTTCTTTTTTGGAGGATACTATTTCCCTCCCTCTGACAGCTTTTAGAAATTTCTCTTTCTTCTGGCAACTTTCAGGATGTAGATATTATTCATACTATAGGTACATCTAGTACTGGGAAGTTCTCTTTCAAGGTCTTTTCTTTTGGTATGGGGGAATTGAACTCACGACCTTGCGCTCGTCAGGCAGGCACTTATGCCACTGAGCCAAATCCCTGGCCCCTAGGTTTTTTGTTTGTTTGATTTTGTTTTTGATACCAAATATCAATTGCATCATACTTCTTTCCAGGCAGTCAGTTCATTGTTAATATTCACTATTATTTAGAAAACTCTGTGGTGCTGCTATTGTTGTTAATGATGATGTTGATAGAACAACTTCATAAAGTTGTTTATAAGTTTCTGGATTCAACCTTGTGTGCATAGGTATGATTCTAATTAGCATAATTGAGAGCGGAGTGAATCAATAGATTACCACTTAGGTTCATTACTGACACCACTAGGTGGCGCACACACAAGAAATATCCAGTAAGGAAAATAGGGAAAGAAAAAAAGTCTTCCCTCAGGTTCCTAAGATCTATGGTAAGAATGAATCTTCTTTTATCTGGCAAATTGTGGAGAAGAAATTAGTGTTAATTTTGTTGTGCCTCAATTTGCAAAAATTATAGCCATGATGTATGAAAAGTACTCCGTTAAGAAGGAAAAGATCTTAAACTTTTGCATGTTTGTTTAGGAGAAAACAGTATATATCAGATTTGATATTCTCTGCAATTTCAGGCATCCACCAGGGATCCTGGAGTGTATCCCCCACAGATAAAATGGGAACTAATGTATATAGTGATAAAAGTGTCACTCCAACAAGAAGCTATGGTAATTGTATACTTTTAAAATTTTGTACCATTACATATTTGCAGTACATAATGATTACACTTATCACGGAAAATTGATAGATGTACAAAACACATCTTAATGTCAAACAGTTCTCAAAATATATGAAGCAACTGACAGAAATCTAAAACTTCCCTAAAAGAAAAATGCAAGAACAGATGGCTATATAGGGTAATTCTGCCACACATTTTAGGGGAAATTAATAACAGTCTTTCTTAAGTTCTTCCAAAACATAGAAGAGGGAGGGACACTTCTTTAAGCAGTGTATTAAGACTGGCATTACTCTGATATTGAAGCTCAATTAAAACATGGCAAAAAGGCAAAATTACAAACTACTATTCTTTATGAATACAGAATCATAGGGGATTACTGAATAGCTAACAATGAGGAAAAAAGAATAAAATTGGAGAAATCATACTTCCAGATTTCAAACTTATTCAAAGCTTCAGTAACCAAAATAGTAAAAAATGGCATAAATATAGATATATAGACCAAAGGAATGAATCAAAAGCCCAAAAGTAAACTCACCTATTATGTGGCCATTTGATTTTCAACAAGGATACTATTGTCATTGAATGAATAAAGAATAGTTTCTTCAACAAATTGTACTTTGACAATTGAGTACCCATATACAAGAGTGAAAGTGACTTCTATCTACCTCACTAAAAATGAATCAGTGACCTAAATTTAAGTGCTAAGTACATGAACATTTAAAAGAAAATCTTTATGGTGTTGGACTTAGCAGTGTTTTCTTACATTTGACACCAAAGGCATGAATAACAAAAAGAAAAATATCTAAATTAGACTTTATAAAATTTAAAACAAAGCATGTCAAAAAAGTAAGAAGACATACTTATTTGGTAGGGGGATAACAAGGAAAGTGAGAAGAGAGCTCAGAAAATAGAAAATATTTGCAAATTATATATCTGATAAGGTTATAGTATCAAAATTATATGAAAATAATCTTACAATCAACAACAAAAGATAACCCAATTGCAAACTAGTGAAAATTTGATTATATTTTTCTCTAAAAAAGGATACATATCCCCAGTTACCCCCCCACACACATACAAGTGATACAAATGTCCAGAAAACAAATAAAAAGATGCTCAGCAATATCTGTCATTTGGAAAATGCAAATAAAATTGGAGTACAATTCTACTTCAGCAATAAGTTTGCCTTTCTATTTTATCCCATTCAAGTTACAAGCCTTTTTTGGTGGTGCCTGATACACCTAGAATGGGACTTCTGTCTTCAAGAAATCCATTCATCCACATCAAGAACTGCTAATTCCAATCATTGGACTAATTTATACTACACACTCTTAATCCTAGTGTCACACATCCTAAATCAGTGATGGCAAACCTTTTGGAAACCAAGTACCCAACTGCAACCCAAAACCCACTTATTTATTGCAAAGTGTAAATAGTGCAATTAAACCTGAATACTTAGGTTTTAGTTTAAAAAAAAAACCCACCATTATCTGATGCTCAGCTACTTGGCTTGTGATGACAGAGAGGGCTCTGCCTGCCCACTGTGGTACATGTGCCATAGGTTCGACACCACTACTTTAGATTTGACCAGTTTCAAAAAGCCCCACCTATGAGCATATGAGACTCTGGGTGGACGTTTAGATATAAGCCATAAAAAAGGGCCAACAAAATATGTACAGATGTTCAGCATAACTAATAATCAGGGAAAAGCAAGTCAAAGTCACAAGACACCATCGCACGTATGTCAGAATGACAAATTATGAAAAAGTCAAGTGATTACAAGTGTTGGTAAGGATGTCAATAAAAGGGAACCCTGGGACACTGTTGGTGGGTAGAAATCTTATGGAAAACAATAGGCAGAGTTCGAAAAAGGTAGAATTCCTGTATGATCTAACAATGATGTTTTGGGTATTATATCCAATGGAATTAAAGTCATGTCTTGAAAGATTTTTTGTACTGTCATGTTCACTGCAGTGTCATGTAGCCAAGATATGGCCAAAAACTGTCCATTGGCAGATGAATAGATAATGAAAATCACACACACACACACACACACACACACACACATATATATAGATACATATAGATATATAGATATATATGTGATATAGATGTACACTATTATTCAGCCTGCAAAAGAAAACCTTACCATTTACAACAACATGGGTAAACTTAGAGAACAATTATGTTAAGTGAAATAAGCCAGA